AATAGGTACCCCGCTTTAGAAAGTAGTCAATATAACAACAAGAATATTGAACAGGTACTTATTCGAATTGCCGAATCTAGTTTCTTACTATACCTAGGTAGATATCTCGAACCTCGTCGTCGAGGCTGTAATGTCCCTTAACCTACTTACTTCTACCCATGTTGTCGTACTTAGCTTTTTAATCTCTGAAGGTAGCTGTATGCTTAGAAGCGAGCTGGATGTCAGGGCATGAGTGATACTAGTATGAATTAGGCATAGACCCAACTATCAAAGGGTATCTCTGACACTGGAAGAGCAGCATTAAGTAGAGTCGTAGTAGAAGAAAATGAAGATGACCAAGTTTTGCAACTCTAGTGTTCTTTCTACGTAAGTCGCCGAGTGTTGAGCGTAGCAACAGAATACCAGGGTTGTATCGAATAGATAGCCTCCCTCAATCCGATAGTTATACCCCATTCCCTCGGTAGGGTTGAGAATCCTCGAGTGCTTCGGCGTAGTTTACGTCTGGATATTTTCTGCGAGTGAGTCTTTCTCTTAGAATGATGCTAATTGTTGATCTGAGAAGGATGAAATGTAGTTTGCAATGTAGCTAACCCCTCTTATTCTCAAGACGCATACCCTAGCACAATGCCCATATTTTATTTTCACTATTTAAGTGTAGACTATCCCAGTCTTGTATCTCGCATATTGGTTAATAGCTCTATCACCCAAGGGAACTGATATGAGAGGGATGTCAAATCTATGCCCGACTACTAAAGAGTGTACCAAACTTATGAGATTCAGCTCCGACTCGAACGTCGGGATAATTGAAGTAAGTGTCAAAGCATCCCATTGAGGGGTAGAGGTGATGGACTTTGGGAGACTTGACAAAGTCAGCCAACGATACCAAGTCGATAGAGCCATCCATTCGATAGTGTTTCGAGAGTGACTTGATTCCGTGTTCGGTAACGTTATAATGAGATGTGGCCCTTGTCTGTTCCGATACATCGATACGCTGTTCCAGATAGGGCGCAAGTTTCGCGCGTGAGAGCGTCGGTGCAGTACACCTTTCAGGGTATCTTTTTGATATATCACCTAACTCAATTCAACCGTGGTTATGGTGCAAGTACCATATCCCAGGGACATATGTGATGCCAGGAAGGAGTCGTCATAGTGTAGAGGTAGGCTACCAAAGCAAACAGTGTCATACCCAAGAAACGACCCATATAGCCTAAAGATTCTCCTCATAGCCATACTATTTTTCTGGCGAGACATATACCTTACGATGTCTAACCAATGGCAAAGAGTTCTCGGTAGTGTAAGTTGGTGGTTGGTTTCGTCTTAAAGCACCGATTCTTGAGACCTTACTGTTTTCTCGGTCTATCACATCAACTAAACCAGACTCAAGACACGGCAAGTTAAATACCAAAGTATGTTAAGAGGGATTTACCAATTGGTAGAGGCTACTTATTGGACCGATGGCAGCCCTAATACATGTAAAACCGCCGTCAACATATCTAGGTTACTTGGCTAGACAACTCCAGGGTCTTGCGATCCCTTAAGACGCAATAGACAGGTAGAGACTAAAATAACATCATATGTAATGACTCATCTTCTCAACTCCGAAACTATGCTTTTGCGATATATCATCGCTTTTAGGCACCTCTACCTCTCCCTCGGCCCCTGCCCCTTCTACCTCTGTTTTTACCACCTCTGCTCAGGTTTACCTGAGCATCTCGCAACTCAGACAATGACTGCTCTCTAGGTTCCTATCTCGACAGCACACCGCGGACGCTTCCCTTGACCGTGGTTTTACCCTCGATAATCCGCTCGCCGATACCCGTGTCGGCTCCGCTGCCAACCTCGAGCCACCGTTTGAGTAGGTCGTTGCTCTCCTTAGGTTTGACACTATCGTCGCGTGTACCAATCGTTATGTGTGGTATCTTATTGACGCAGGTCCACTTCTCCTCTTCGTCGACAATGCGCACCACTATAGCCATGATACGATCGTCGTATATGACTCGCTCTAGTTGGATATCGCACTCCCCTAGTTTCCCATCCTGACTTTGGCTTCCCGCATGTAGCGATATATACCTCTGCCATAATTCTGGGTGCTCCTTAGCTGCTACGCGGTGCACCAGCGTTACGTGGAAGAGCGCCTGTACGCGGCGGGTCTGCTGTAATTGTCTGTAAAATCGTTGCGTCTGTGGGTCTGCATCCTTAAAGGCAGACTCGAGAGCTACCTTGATATCTTGAGCAGGTACAGATATAGACATATACTCTAGCGGTTTCTTCTTCGGGGGTTGCGGCTCTTGATTCTTCTTCTGCTGGACCTGCTTCTTATCTTGATTTTTACTTCGGTCTGGGATGGTATGCCTCAGATCGGGCTTGTAATTCTCGATAGCGGCCTTGACGGCTTCGTCTATTTCTTCGTCGGCAGGCACTTCAGTAACCAACGATGGGAATTTCCGATGCAGCTCCCTAACAACCGTCTCCACATTAGCACGGCTGTCTTTGGTAGGGTCTAGATCGATGATGAAATCAAATCCATCGTCGGGACTATTATCGGGATCGCAAGGCTGAAATCTATGTATAAAATTTTCCATGATCCCTATAACCTTAGCCTCGTCCGAAGCGGCTTGAATGGTCTGGTGGTTGTCTCCTCGCTTCAGTACTCGTTCCCTAGTTACTCTTCGGGTCTCGTCGATGTCTCCGTGGGTAAAATTTAGAGCGACGAGCCTCGCTTCTCTGTGTTGCAACTTGATGTCCTTGATAATCTGTTCTCGCTCCCGGCGTTCCGAGTTGTTCCGATCTGCTATAACGACAGGATGTTCGACGAGAAGCGATAAGATGGACTGGGTCATTTTTAAAGGTCGCTGCTTGCCTTGTATGTTGTCGTTTTGGATAATACCCCAGCCGAACAGATGTGTCAGGGCAATACCAACGGTAGTCTTGCCGCAGCCAATAGTGGCGATAGGCACTAAGACGACATCGCGGGAGACGGATCCCAACTCGTTGTTTCCGAACTCGTTCTCGACATTAGCAGCATCCGAGCCTTTCATATTCTTATATGCCAAGAAATCATCGCGAAGAGCAATGATTCCGTGGTTCTGATTATAAGCTTTCGCCAACTTAGGGTCCGAAGCGAGTCTCTTGCGTGCGTACATGAGGTATTCTTCTGTAATCTTAACGTGTTTCTTGAATTTCGGAGCCTTGCCGGCGATTAGGGCCTTGGTGCATTCCCGCCACTGCCTGTATAACAAATATGGCTCTTCAAACTTGTATTTGAAAAACCAGTCCGAGTACGGCACCTCGTTAGGCTTGGGAGACATTCTGCAACGAATAACAAATCCCTCGACATCCCGGCCTTCGTGCGCTCCCGACTCGGCAACTCCTTCTAAAAAGGATTTGACAGAGTTGACATCGTCAAAAGTCTTGAGACTAACTTTGCGGAATCCCCATTCGTCGGCGAACTGTTGGACTAAAGTGCTAGAATAAGTCACGAACTCGGGAACGTTGACGTTAATTCCGTGGAGATAAAGGCCAGCCTTTTCGGGGCCGTAGGCGAGGATGTGCTCTTCAAACTCGTCATCGCAAAGCTCAGCCACGGCGGTCACATTTCTTCGCCTCAGTTCCCGGGCGAATTTTTCTCTGGTCTTGCCAATGGTGGCGAGCTGTTTATCAACCCATCGCTCTCCAGCGCTAGCATGGCTTACTTCTACGTCGCTACGATCCCCGGTAGAATGTTTGCTGCAGACAAGAAGGGTCCCATCTTCGAGACCGCTAATAAAAATAATACAGCCGTTTTCCTTTAGGGTTAACTCGTACGGGCCTTGGGTTTTCGTTAAGATATTTTCCCATTTTGTTTCCCATACCTCGTCGACGTTGAAGAACTTGTCATAACCTCTGATTGCAATCTCATGATCTCCTCGGCGGTTCTTGGTTGTGAAGAGACCCCTGGCATAAGTAGGTAAGTATCGCTTCTTGTAGTCCCAGTCGTGCATGCGCCAAGAGTCGACGGTGATATCATCAGGAGATCCTTTAACTTCATATGTAGTCTTCTTAGCCTTGATACCAGTATTGGTCTTGTTGCTTAGACCGCGAACTAAAGCTGATACCTCTTGAGGATCTTGGTCACGATATGGTACTTCTGGGGTCTCCATGGTTGATTTTTGATGAGTAGTAGACGATGATTCTACTTTTGGTGTTCCGCTAAAATGAGCCTTGTGTCCAATAAGAGTAAAGGTCGGATGTATTCTATGTAACCCGGGACATAGGGTAAATCGTGGTAGTGAATTTGTAAAAATACAGATAAGTCGAGGTGTGATACGACCTGACGATACCTGTATACAAGCGTGGTTGCAATGACGTCTCATCAGCCAGTAAATCCAAATAATAAGCTGAGAAACTTCCTTGCTTTATAAGGTAAAGTGCGTATTAAGTGCCCAGACGTTATAAAGTAAAGGTAGCCTTAGAAAGGAGAATTGTTTGGTTGTCGGCCTGAGTCAAAGATACCGATACTTTTATTAGAAAAACCGCGTCTTTACTAGTTAGATGCGCCTTTACTCTGTTTAAACTCAATTATATGCACATATTTAACTGCCTAACGTATCATATCTTTACCAAATTGGAAATCTTAGGTAATAATGGCATAACGGGTATCTTTGTCCGTTGAGTCACTACCTACCTTAGGTACATTTTGGGCAGTTACACTAAGAGATCAACTAAACTTGCCCTAGGTATAGAGGGATTGAATCTTAAAACGGAAGGCGGTCAATACCTATTTTACACATTTTGCATAGATGGCGGGGTTATTAGCGAGGGGCTGAGGGGTTCAGATTTTATTTTGCCGATATGCGTCATACCGATCTTGAACCCACTGTCAATTTCCTATCAGGCACTAAGGCAGTGGTTATAGCAAACTAGGACTTTTAATTATTTTATTTTAAAATTTACTTAGTATCAAATAACTGCCTGGCTGAATTAACTCTCATTCAATTCAACTACCCGACTATCTGGTCGCCATGTCTGCCAATCCGTTCCTCTTAGCTGCCGACAATAGCCCAGCTCTATTACCTCTCCTTCGAGAGAATCCTAATCTAGCTTCCGAACAGGACTCTCACGGCTACTCCCTAGTTCATGCGGCAGCAAGTTATAATCATCTCGATCTCCTCCGTACCCTAATCCGCGAGTTTAATGTGGATGTCAACTTGCGCGACGAGGACGACGAGACTGCTCTCTTCGTGGTTGAAACTGTTGAAGCTGCTCGCGCTCTAGTTGAGGAATTGGGAGCTGATATTACGATCAAAGGCTCTGAAGGATATACGGCTTTCCAGAAAATAGTCGAAGAGGGTGATTTCCCAGAGGTTGCCGAGTACCTAAAAACCAAGGAAGATACCAGTCATGCGCAGGTCCTGTTGAATGGGACCAATGGGGACACAAACGCCGCGCCGCCTATACCAGATGGCCTCAGAATATCCGTTAGCACAGTTACACCTGCAGAGGAGACCGAACTCGAGGTTGATCCCGAATTTCGAAGAAGGATAGAAGAGTTGGCTGAACGGGACGACTTTCACTCCGATGCTGGCCAAGCTGAGCTCAGGCAACTAATCCAAGATGCCATAGCGGAACGTAATCCCGCGGATCGCAACGTTCGTCCAAGACAAGACTAACTAAATCGGATTCCTCGATTAGAAATACGATATGTATCTCAATTCTGTTTCCTGATATCCCAGAGAAGATACTCTCCGGACGAGTTAGGTGGTCTTAAAATGGTACAATCGGCGCTGTCACCAACGATATCCCTCGCGAACGTCGTAGTGCTTAGCGAGAACCATGACTTGGCTGGCAGGGCGAGTATTACTTCCGCCAAGGTTTGTCGAGTCCACCTTGGCGGAATAAAACCTTGCCAGCTAATTCGGCACAGCTTGCCTTCCTGAAGGTCGTCGGGAGCACCAGGAATGGTGTAATTGGACAAATATGGGTCGATCTTGTCATCTATATTGATTCGTGGACTATCAAGTCGGACCAGAGACAACCACTCATATATGTCTGTAGCAAATTCATCCAGCTCTGACTGGTTTTGGTTCGATAGGATAGCGATCGGAGGTTTCAACAATGGTAACCTCGTGGAAATATTCTCAGAGACCTTGGGGTGCGATGTATACTTAACAGGATAGTGCCGTGAGAGAGGATCAGGAACGGGTGCTATGCCATACAACTATCAGTAATAACAAAAGCCAAAAAACGTTATAGATAACTCACTCTTGGAAAGATTATGAAAAAACCAGGTGACCGGTGCGTTGAAAACATTTTTACACGCATATGCCAATCTGTCAAAGCCCTTCTTACCGTGGAGCATCGAGGGACTTCGAAGATCGAATTGTACAACTTTAGGGGCTAATTAGCAGTCGTGCCAAAGATCAAGACATGATTGAGTTGAGCGTACCCCATCTCGGTTTAAGTCCTCGTTTACCCTTGACTCCGTGTGGCTTTCCAACAAGTCCAGCTCGCTCATACGTCTCTTTGTCGAGATACATCGTGAGCATACCTAGGGTATTATTAGTCATGTGTGAATTATAGATATTGCCAGTAGATCGGAAGATGTGCATACCTTCTTTTAGCAAAAATACATTCTCGGAATCTACTCTTCCCTCCGAGAGCATCATAATGTTGCCTTGTCATCACGTCAATTTTGACATTCGCGAGACGATAGTAGTTAGAAACCTAATTACCTATCTTGATGTATTCGGTGAAGAAGTCACCTTCTACGATTTGACCAACTGTCATGATAACCTTATAAAATTCAGGTGCTCGGCTTGGATCACCTGTTAGTTTATCCTCGACGAGCTGTACTAGTTCCGCCGGGAGGATTAGATCCACCTATATTATATCAGCAAGTGTCTTAGATAGGATCATGTAGATGCGGGTATTTATACTTTGTGTACGAAGTCTTGCGATAGCAACGTACTCCATGGTTTTCCTTTGCTTGGTAATTTTTGGGGATCAGGATGACCCATTACTCCGTATGTGACGAAGCATTTTGAGGATTGATAAACGCTCGGCGCTGGAAATGAAAACATTATCAAATGCGAATATTAAAATCGGAAATAACAGATCTCGCACTCATGGCATAGACGTACATTGCCTAGAATCTGGAGGATGATATTGAGATATTGAGATATCGAGGCAGAAACGTAAACTTGGGAGTTACAATAACCCTCCACCGTAAAATTAATTATGGCTCTCTTATAACACTAAGATGCTTTAGAGAATACTATGTCAAGCAATTTGAATAAGTAAATCGCACTAAAGCGGACCATGCAGAAATCAATAGTAGCGCCATTCCAAGCACTCGGCCATTTTTCTCTTAGAAACACTCCCTCTTTTTTACCATAACATATTTTCACATTTGTGAAACCCGCACACGGATTCATTCGTTACCCTATGACTCAAGTGGCAGCTGTCGAGCAGAATTTCTAAACCTCAGATGGAGTGGCTTGTACGTAGAGACGAAGCAAAAACTTTCAGGTTGATCTGCCCTTAGCGACTACGAAACACTCAAGGCTCAATCCACAATGGAATACCTTATTCGTTTCTCTCAGTCTCATGAGAGTTTTCGTTTGCCAGAAATTCAGTCACTCGCCATCGTCGAAGGTCTTGATCTAGAAGTTATTTCCTATAGCGATGAGGTAATAATCTATGCCATGATCTATGCCATGACTAGTTACCTAAGATTCTATACTTACGATTCTCTAGTCGCCTTTCTGCATAGTCCGGCTAGAGTCTGAAGATGCTGCAAAAGCTCTCCTAAGGCGTTCGGTATTGGCGCAAACTATTCATGAACTTTGGGGTACTGCCGAGAAATACGACGAGCTACACGCCGCCGTCAAACGTGACACTGCTCACTTATGGCCTAAATATAAAGATGTCTCGTTCAAGATTAACATAGACGCTTACCAAGGCTCCCGAACGGAGAAGAATAAATTGGCACTCATAAATAGCTTTGCCTATCTTCCTTTCGAAGGGTTAATTCTTCTAAAGTCTCCGGATCAGGAATTTACAATATTCGAACAGTGGGAATTTGATTCCGTACCGCGTGACCTACCTAACCCCTTAAAGATACACTTCGGTCGTCTCGTAGGTCATAGTGTGCGCGAGTTAATCAAAACCTACGATCTCAAAAAGCGAGGATATATCAGCACGACCTCCATGGATTCGGAATTAGCTTTAGTTACAGCCAACATTTCCCTTGCCGCACCAGGAAAAATCTTCTACGACCCCTTCGTCGGGACTGGCAGCTTTCCTATAGCATGTGCGCATTTTGGCGCTCTTGGCCTAGGAAGCGATATTGATGGTCGTAGCGTCAGGGGCGAAGGTGGGAAGAAGAGCTTAAAAGGTAATTTTAAGCAATATGGACTAGAGTCTCTACTTGGTGGCGTTTTCGTTAGCGACTTGACCAACAGTCCCGTACGAAGAGCGCAGATACTCGACGGCATCGTCTGTGATCCACCATACGGCGTGAGGGAAGGACTAAAAGTTCTCGGGTGTAGAGACCCGGAGAAGGACGTCTGGCTCGTGGAGAAGGGAAAGCGATCATATCAGTTAGTTTATGCATTCCTAGAAAACCTGATGATAATCGCTAACAAAAGTCAGAAAACCGACATTTGTCCCCCCGAAGAGACCATATAGTTTTACAGCTATGTTAGATGACATATTGGATTTTGCCTCGGATACCTTAGTGGACAACGGTCGTCTGTCTTTCTGGATGCCGTCTGCTAATGACGAAGAACAAGAAATTCCTATACCAACGCACCCGCGCTTGAGCGTCGTGGTCGTCTGCTCGCAGGTGTTTAATAAATGTATGCTTGCTATATATCCACTTTTTGTGGGTGTCTCGACTGACAAGGTTCTTCAGGGTCACGAAGGTTAATTACTTACCGCCGTCTACCGGATTCGGATGTTGACGTGGCTGCGTTGGCGCAAAGGAAGCGAGAAGAGCAAGTAAAGGGTCGTACTGCAGATGACTTAAATTCGTTTCGCCGAGCATATTTTAGGGGGTTCAAACCAGAGGAAGCGAGCGCAGATGTCGTGGCTGGGTGATTAGTAGAGGGATATTATTTTGATGATCTTCTCATACCTCCTTTTTGATAGGAGGGAAAGTGGATACTCATTATACTGGTCATTGGTACCAAGCTGACGAGATAAATCCTTTGAATACAACGTGATCCCAAAGCTGATTGCGGGGATTAAGTATGAGCAGTTGAAGATGAAGTTTAACAAAATATCAGATAACTTTGATGTGTCTTAATATTTTGTATCGCTACAAGAAAGGAAAAGTTAAGATTGATAGTAGCGCTAATCGTTAGGTAGCCGCAAACCCTATTTCCCAAGTAATTTCCCCATACCTATTTAGGGGATGATGTACCTAAGGGTAGGTAGATATCTATGAGGTACATAACGTATACATTTCTAACATCAACACCATCTCTTATTCAACTTTAAACAAAACACCAAAAATAAATAACTACCTAATATGTCATACCTCTATACCGAGCACTAGGCTAATAGCTAGAATTTCGGTGATTTACTCATTTGACAATTAGCTATCCCCATCAACGCTAAGCCCGGTGCAGGGAATTACATTATAAGGTACCCAATGTTTAAGTCGTCTAGACTTCCCCTCATATCCACTGCTCCCGCTCAGCCCGTCGAGCAAGGTTCTTTTTGAATCTTCACGTGGTTGCTTAAGTGGAGGTTAGCGACATACGTGTATTATAGAACCGAATATTCAGCATATTCAGCACGCGACGCGCCGTAAGTTCGGTAACTCGGGGTTTACAAGAAAGTCATGATGGTTAGATATACGTCAAACTAAAAGCTATTAAAGTCTATATTTCATAAACTTCTATATGATCGACTTCTACCTCGCCGTTTAATTAAGCTTCTCTACACAGCTTTTAGTCGGCGCCACCAGTGTTGCCGTCAGAACTTATAGATAAAGTAAGCAGCCTACCGTATTGCGCGGCATGCATGATGTGTACATGTATGCAGCACATGGCACATGATGTCTAAGACACGCATGAGGCAGCACTCTCATAGGAAAAAGCATCATAGAATTTGAATGAACATTCCTATTCGATATTTCCCGGATGCGAATTCAAATATTGCCTCGTGTAGTGAATTTGACAATTGACAATAGGATATTTAATATAATTTTGCATCTGATAATTGATATACCTAACTATGTAGTTGTCCAATCATATAATTACTGCGTAGGTCATCAGCGTGTAAGTTTCTTATTCCAATAAAAACTTTTGGTCGAGTATTATTGCGTCGTCATTCAAGAAATTTTTGTTGCTGACTGCTGAAATAAATAGCGTGATATTGTTCCTGGCTTCTAGAATCCTGCTCTGTAAGGATTCTATTAATATTATATCGTACGGTCGTCATTATCGGGCTCTGCTTATCTCTCTTACGCTCTTTGCCATGTGCTTCCTATTCCCAGTCGCATAAAAAAGCTTACATGTACATACCTAATGTACATACCTAATGCGCGCTTCATGCGGTGAAGCTACCCAAGACCAAGGGCTATACTACGGGTCTAATAATAGGCTCACCGCCCCTGTCCCCTGTCCACCCTAGCTATTGGGTCCTTGGGTCCTAATTCTTCTCCACCCCCAGACCTCCAAGGCTCCAACGGCCTGCTTCCAACGCCTGGGCACTGTAGCACTGTACGTCTTTTGCTACAATCCTGCAACAAGTTTAAGCCGACTTTCACGAGTTTACGTACGGCTTTAGTTTCTTATGACCCTTTTTTTTGGGACATCTCTCCAATCTTCATCACTGCTAAACCAACTTTTCTAACTTTGCTTTGATTGACATCACGAGATACTTCTTTTTTCTTTTTCGGCGCCGTTTCTATTATCGGTTTTTTTTTTCCTTACTTGGAACAATCTTACATTAATTTACTTGTACATTTTTCTGGGTTGGCAACATCACATAAGGCTTCATTGTCCGACCTATACGCGCAAGCCCTTTCGCGTTGTTACGAGACGTTTCACTTGAAGTAAAGACAAAGAGTCGCCACGCAAAACTTCCATCATAATCATACAACCTCAACAGTCATGCCTAGTAATCCGCCCCCAGAACTCCCTCCGAGAACGCACAGTTCGTCCTGTCCTGATCCCGAAGAATCGCTCCGATTTACGGGTAGTTGGCGATCAAATCAAGATGGACTCGAGATGAATATCGATAGTCCAGAGACGTCATCATCCCCTGAGCCAGTCAGCGCACCACTCCACGCCAATATTCAACACGATACTTTAGACTCGCGATCCGCTACTGAATCTCCTGGCCCGGATTCAATGAGTCGTCGCACAGAGTCTACAATCTCCCCTGACCGCTCCAACACACTATCCCAGACTACGTCAGCGCATAAGCCCACCGATGCAGACCACGATGCATCGGCCAAAAGTGACACAGATGCGCCATCAGGGCTACAACGATCGAGTGGCAATTACGACATTGTAACATCCATCGGCGCAGAAAGTGAGAAATTAGAATACGGCGTAATACCCGGTCGGTTGCAATCAGGGGACGCTTATGCGCCTTCGATGGGATATGACCATTCCAACATCCGAGTAAGTCCATTCGCCCTTATTTTAAGGGGAATAAGTGGTTATATCCATTAGTTAAGTATGCTGACGTCGTTCAAGATAATACCAACATCTCCCTCATCCTTCCTACGGCCGGGTAGTAAATTCCACGGCACACAACAATCGGAACGGCAAGTATACGACGTGCAAGTCGAAATAAAATATGTCGACTTGAGGGAGTCATTCCTCTGCGGATTTCTAAGGATCCAGGGTAAGTCAACCAGCTAATTCACCAATTCATCTCATTTCATTCAGTTTTTGTTCTTACACCGATCGAGTCGGTGTGGCGCATCACCCCCTCATCACCCCCAACCTCGGGACCTAAGACCACATATGCTAATATGACGTACGATCTTCAGGCCTGACTGAAGATAACCCGACGTTGACGACGTATTTCGAAGGCGAGATTATCGGTAGTAAATACGAATTCATCACGAAGCACGCGGGCTGGGGTGCAACAGATAAAATCGATCTGAGTCACTGGAGCAAATTCACAGCATTTCGACAATACGCCAAACAAGTACGCAAGGGACCCGTCACTATCCCTAACTTAGCTCAACGAGAGAACATTTTTATGCGTTGGAAGGAACACTTTCTCGTTCCCGATCATCGCGTCCGCACTATTAACGGAGCAAGCTTCGAAGGTTTCTACTATATCTGTTTCAACCAGAAGGAAGGAAGCGTTAGTGGTATATATTTCCACTCCAAGAGCGAGAAGTATGTTTTTCTTTCTTTTCCCTCGTATCTGTGCCATCCATTTATTAAACCTATTATGCTTCATATATGCACATACGTGTACACGTTGATATGTATCAAATGCCATATTTTATTTTGTTCATGTCCCGCGTCCGTCATCACTTCCAAGCCATTACCAACGCAAGAGCACTTTTGCTAATACGACTGGTTTCCATCATAGATTCCAACAGCTGGAGCTTAAGCACGTAGAGGATAGAGGGTGCTTCGGCGCCGTGGAATTTCGATAGCCGTATACGGTTTTTCGTACGGAATGAATGATAAGATAGTTGATGTCGGGCATGTGGACGTCAGAATAGCATACAGCAACGACCACTTGCTCGAATAGTAGTAGTAAGTAATTTTTTGGCAGGCGAAGGAAATCATTACGGGATGGTATAAACTGGCATCTCAATTTCTGCAACGCAAATAGGGAGGAGTACGGAACTCGACACCGAGCATAGCCCAGCGCAGCGGTCTGGGTCTTGGTCTCCTTTTTTTAAGGGGAGGTATCACATCACGTTCACGACAGACGGGATTACTGCAGCATTTCACAACTTCGCGGCAAGGGGGGGTATATTGTAAGGGGTTTGGGGGGGAATGCCGTACTACTCTATGTATACATAATGATGATCGTAAACTCGCACTTGTGCGCCTTATCTATCTTAGCTCTTCACGAGATGGGTTTGATCTTGAAATGAAGTGATGTCAAGCTGAAAACAAGAGCCTTTAGATCTTGTACCAGGTAGTAGAATACCCGTAGTCCTTCGGGGTCTGCCGATTCCGTCACGTCGATTAGGGAACCAATCTTAGCTGTCTATAATTGGTATTGGTATTAGTACTCGTCGTTCTACGGTGGGGCTTAGGCCGAGTTATGGTGAAAGGTATATAAAGGGGATCTACTCGCCTCGAATGATATGTGATCGTTGCCCACGCGAATCTCTAATTCCTGTCTACCATCCTTATTCTTCTGTGGCCATTTGGCGTCGTCTTCCTTCATGATCTCGCTCGATTTGACGATGCGCTTGATCTCATCTACCACCAACGAACTAACGCACACTGTTTTCTTCGTTAGCCTTGTCTTTGATTGCTACTTCGAGTTCTTCGTTCCGGGAATGGGGTGTATTTCGCTCGAGGAAGAGAGCGTAGTAGGAAATAGGTGCTGACATACTCTCTTTTCGGATTAGACTGTCGTTCCTGTAGTTGGAGTTGTTTGCATATCGAGCTACGGCACTTCGACCATCGCCTACTACTCTAATATCGAACTCTGCTATTGTTAGTTTCTCTATTTACTTTTTCTATAGACACGTAGGTAGATAACGAGGGCGATCGAAGAGCAGGGGAATCGTAGGTACGCGTACCTAGAAATTCATGGCCGAATCGACCGGAGTGACCTGAGCTGTATTGGTCAATTAGCTTCAAGCTTTGAGCTTCACGTCTATTTGAAGCTTGCACGTACTAGTATCGGATATAGAAAGGTTCACCGGTGGAGGCCATATTGGTAGTTGATATGGTTGCTGTAAATAAGACAACTGTACGAGTATAGAAAGACAATACTAAGTCTCGGATTCGGCTTGCTAAGTTTAATGACGGTAGTACTGCGTTCCAAAGGGTGTTACTAGATTTAGCCTTGTTAATGTTGCGACGAGGCTTCACTAGACGATAGCTTGGCAGTGTAGCTCTAGAAAGTTTCGGCGGGGCAGGGGAACAGCTAAAATGTACTGTGCGTGGGGAGCTTTAACTGGAAGCACATGTACGAAGTGTACCTCCTACGAAGTAAGTACTTGGATACTTAAGAAAAGAGCGTAAGCCACAGTCGAATTGAGGCTGGTCCGTACCTAATCGACCTTGTTTCACATGGCTAATATTCGGGTTACGGATTATTTAATTCAACGTTGCATATGAGCCAATCAAATCCTCATATTCTTTCAAACCCAATCCATTTTAGGAGGGACAGATTTCTGTGTATTCCGTAATTGCTGGACGTTTGGATTTTGGGGCCAGCCTGGACGGATTATTGTTATCAACTCCATAACAGCATAACAACAACATCACCGCTGTTCAACTTTCTCGACCCAGTCCAACTTTCACTGGGATGCATGATCGCATTGTCCTCGTTATACCACCTCTTCAACTGCTGGGACGGCTCTTTTAATTGTTCAATTCTATTTCGGCCTTGTATTTACGAATCTACACGAGCCCACGAGCCCTCGAGCCTTATTCCCCGAACACGACCTCCAATATAATACTTGAACTGTCTACTCAAAATTTATCTAGTTCTCCTCCTTCTTGTCGGTCTATCTACCTACCTAAACCCTTATAGATCTTCTCGAGTTTACCACGCCGGCGGAAGCCGCAACAATTGCCCAGCATGACGACCTTCCTCGAGAACGCCTATAGCTTGGTCCACCAGGACAATACCGCAGATGTCCCATCCATGTCGGATTTGCGCATGCAGTTGGAAAAGGGTACAGATGAGACAAAGGTCGATACTATGAAGCGCATCTTAACTGTCATGTTGAACGGTGACCCTATGCCTCAGCTCCTTATGCACATTATTCGATTCGTTATGCCTTCCAAGTATAAGCCATTGAAAAAGCTATTATACTTCTACTACGAGATCTGTCCTAAGCTCGACTCCACCGGTAAATTAAAGCAGGAGATGATTCTTGTTTGGTGAGTACAGAAAGAAGTTATGAATGACATACAGACTCGGTTGCTAACAGCTCTGGGCTTAGCAATGGCATTAGAAATGATCTTCAACATCCGAACGAGTACATCAGGGGAAATACGCTACGATTCCTTTGCAAGCTACGAGAACCAGAGCTGATCGAGCCCTTACTATCCTCGGCTCGGTCTTGTCTCGAGCATCGCCACGCCTACGTCCGAAAGAATGCCGTCTTCGCCATCTCTTCCATCTTTTTACATTCGCCGTCCCTTATCCCAGATGCTTCCGAGCTGATTGCCGCCTTCCTCGAGGGAGAAAGCGATGCCACTTGCAAGCGTAACGCCTTTTCTGCTCTGGCTAGCATTGACCACGAGAAGGCTTTAGTGTACTTGAGCTCCGTCTTTGAGGGGATTCCAAACGCCGAGGAGCTACTACAGTTGGTCGAGCTCGAGTTCATTCGAAAAGATGCAGTTCAGAATTCCCAGCACAAGGTAAAGCAGTCCAGAACCCAATTTGGTAGGCTAGCGACTAACAATCGCAGGCCCGTTATTTGAGACTCATTTTCGATCTACTTGAGGCCGGAGCTTCAACTGTCGTTTACGAAGCTGCTTCGTCCTTAACAGCATTAACCAGCAACCCAGTTGCGGTAAAGGCGGCCGCGGCTAAGTTTATCGAACTGAGCATCAAAGAAGCCGACAACAATGTGAAACTTATCGTCCTCGACCGAGTAGACCAACTACGGCAGAAGAACGAGGGCGTACTAGACGATCTGGTGATGGAGATCCTACGTGCGCTATCTAGTCCCGATATCGATGTCCGACGAAAGGCCCTTACTATCGCGCTAGAGATGGTGTCGAGCAAGAATGTCGAAGAGGTTATTTTACTGCTTAAGAAAGAGCTGTCTAAAACTGTTGATCAGGAATACGAGAAGAACGCTGAGTACCGACAACTCCTCATTCATTCCATTCACCAGTGTGCTATCAAATTCTCCGAAGTAGCAGCTAGCGTAGTCGATCTACTCATGGACTTCATTGCCGACTTTAGCAATAATTCCGCTGTCGACGTTATCAGCTTCGTCAAGGAGGTAGTCGAAAAGTTCCCCAAGCTACGGCCCTCAATCGTCTCGCGATTGGTTGACACTCTCAGCGAGGTCCGAGCAGGCAAAGTCTACCGTGGAATTATCTGGATCATTGGCGAGTATTCTCTTGAAGAGAGCGATATTCGAGATGCGTGGAAGAGGATACGTGCGAGTCTAGGAGAGATACCTATTCTGGCCTCCGAACAGCGACTGTTAGACCACGTAGATGGAGATGAGGAGAAAGAAAAGGAGCAGGTCAATGGCCACTCGAAGTCGGCGGCGCCGTCAGGCTCAAGGAGGGTCCTGGCTGACGGTACATACGCCACCGAGACAGCTCTTACCAGCGGTTCGGCTGCTGCCGCCAAACTAGAAGCTGTCAAGGCTGCTCAAAAACCACCACTACGACAGCTCATCCTCGAGGGTGACTACTACTTGGCCGCCGTTCTTTCGGCAACTCTTACCAAGTTGGTTATGCGTCATTCCGAGATCTCTTCGGACAAGGCCCGAACGAATGCTCTCAAGGCCGAAGCTATGCTGATCATGATTTCCATCATACGTGTTGGTCAATCGCAATTTGTCAAGGCTCCCATCGATGAGGATTCTGTCGACAGGATAATGTCCTGTGTTCGGTCGTTGGCGGAGTTCTCCGACAGGAAGGAATTGGAAACGGTATTCCTCGACGATACGCGGAAAGCTTTCCGTGCTATGGTGCAGGTTGAAGAGAAGAAGCGGGCGGCAAAGGTTGCCTTCGAAAAGGCCAAGACCGCCGTCCAAGTCGATGATGTCGTTCAGATTCGACAGCTATCTAAGAAGAACGTATCAGACGGCGCCGACGAGATCGAGCTTGATCTCGAGAGAGCAACTGGCGGAGAGTCTGTATCGGAGGACCTTTCATCGAAGTTAAGCCGTGTCGTTCAGCTTACTGGTTTCTCCGACCCCGTATACGCCGAGGCGTACGTTAAAGTACATCAGTTCGACATCGTCCTGGATGTTCTTTTAGTCAATCAAACCACCGAGACTCTCCAGAACTTGTCAGTCGAGTTCGCTACGCTTGGCGACCTCAAGGTTGTCGAACGACCTACTACGCAGAACCTTGGCCCGCACGACTTCCACAACGTGCAATGTACCATTAAAGTTTCATCGACAGATACCGGAGTTATATTTGGTAACGTAGTATACGATGGAGCTCACAGCACGGACACAAATGTTGTTATTCTTAACGATCTACATGTCGATATTATGGACTATATCCAGCCGGCAACATGTACAGAGACGCAGTTCCGCACCATGTGGACGGAATTCGAGTGGGAGAACAAGGTCAACATTAACAGCAAGGCCAAGAGCCTCCGCGAATTCTTGGAACAATTGATGGCCTGCACGAATATGAACTGTTTGACGCCGGAAGCTAGCATGAAGGGCGATTGCCAGTTCCTGAGCGCCAACCTATACGCCAAGAGTGTCTTTGGTAAGTTTTCACTATTAACTAGCTATTCAAAAATGCCAACTAATTATTCGCAGGCGAGGATGCTCTGGCAAACCTGAGTATCGAAAAGGAAGGAGAGGATGGGCCAATTACAGGTTTCGTCCGCATAAGAAGCAGGTCACAAGGACTAGCACTAAGTCTGGGATCCCTCAAAGGTTTGAACAAGATTGGTACCGCTGCTGCTTGATGGAAGGGGAATATCTAGGAGTATATAATTTTTCAGGGCAGTCCAAAATGCCGTCTCGCAACGGTAACTCGTAGTCGTTAATGAGCTGACGAAGAGGGGCTTTTGGGAGGCTAAAAAAGATAGAGTAGTGATATCCAAGATGATTGATGTCGCAAGTGGAATGAATGCTCTTGTCGAGATAGCACGGACCAAAAAAAAACGAGGTGCTAGAGTACCTCGGGCTATGATTTAGACAATGCAAATTATTTTACGACGAAGCATAGGGTTATACGTGTTTTGTAACCTGTAGTTAGTGATATGTGAACCTTGGACCGAGTAGTTCTCATTCCAGTACGATGCTATTCATTGGCTAAATAATCTATTTTAATTCTAATACAAAACATCTGCCTCATATTTAGGCAAGTAGCTCGTTGCCTTTCTTATCCACCTCTGTTGTTTGCATAGTGCTTGGTGCCACGAAGCTTACTACCATGTATATAAAATAAGGGGGGGGATAATTAAGCTAAACAGATCAACCCGGGATCGACTACGGTGCAAATACATAGCAACAGGGTTGTTTTAAACGGCTACCGGTGTTTAACAGCTTGGCGTGCTGGCGTGGAACCTCAAAACAGCGTTTTTAAAACGGCAGCTTGTTGTTTGTCAAACGACAAGCCCTTCATCAGCACCGCCAAGTGTGGGTAAACAGTATACCTTAGGAGGGATTTATAGGTAGACATTAATTTATTTATTAGACGCGCTTCTACTATCTGCATTAGGAAGAATGTATGTCTCTACATGTCGCAAAGCTAACGGCCTGGGGCATGTATAGGCGGCAAATGGCTCAGCTCGGCACATGCATAAGGTGGCTGGCTGGCTTACTCGACCGGGAGTGCAATCTTGTCACTTGCAGGACGAGAATGTCAATGTCAATGTCAATGTCAACGAAGACGTGGGTGTGTAAGATTTGGTTGGTAGGGGTGTTAGGCATGAATGCGGGAGTATTTATTGGTATAGGATTATAGAGTAGGGCTACTGTGTGGTATACTACGTGTGGTTGATAATATGGTAAAGGATGGATATACGAATATGCATTATATCTTTGAAGATCTCGGTAGCTAACTACCTAATCTAAGATTCTATGTTTAATTTTTGTTTTAGTTTAGTCAAGGTTCGCAAGAGCCTCTGTTTCGTATGGTTCGTACCTATGTTTCGTCTCGTAAAAGACAAGCGTATGATCAACTACCGGGTTGTATGTTTAATATTTAATATTAGCATCAAGTTAACCGGGGCTTTTTTTCAGGAGAACAACTAACAAAAGTAAAGCTCGGGTTTCGTATTAAAAAAAAACCCTCGGGCTGTCCCGGTAGACCGGCAACCCCTATCCATCTAAGTTAACTCATCTACCGCATAACCCAATATATTTTATTATAGACTTATAAACTTATAATTTTATGTTTTGGAGAAGCTTGTGATGACCCCACGATCACACGACATTGCATATGCGCCTTGATGATCTTCCCCCGCTTTCTTTTCCTCTGGTCCCCCTGGTCTCCCTGGTCCCCCCATGTCTTAAACAATAACTAAAGAAACTGGCGTAAATGGCGTAAAAAAAAAGGTCTGGGCCATATGTTTCGTGCGTCACATCGTTCCATCTCGGCTCATACCCGTTCCATTTTCCCACTCTGGTCTCGAGAGACTGGCGGCATAATCAAACGAAAGCATGATTTTACGTACCGGCGTCAAAACCTTTTCTGGCTGAAGCCCGGCTGGGTCGTTAAGACCTCCCAAAGAGTATTTATACTTTTAAATCCCACCTGTGCCTGCCAAGGGACATAGTTAGTTTTCCTTATATTTATTCCAATAGCTACTTCTATCGTCTGTTCATCTGTCTGAGAGTAATTCTCTTGCTTTTGACTAGGAACTTTAACGCTCGACACTTAACTATAAGCCATCACCTCGACAAGTCTTGCTATTAGTATAAAACCCGACTCGAGAAACCCATTTACCTGACCTGAATTCCTAAACTCACAAACACTCATATCCCCTTCGATCCCTACCTTTCTTATAGCATTTCCAAATACATAATATCAAAATGCCTGCCAATTTTAACGCACCACGACCTTTCTCGGCTACAACGCCAGTCTATCCAAGTTACCTTCCCGCTCTACACAAATCGGGGCGCATCGAGAGAACAATGTAAGCCTAATTTATCCCATCACAGTCGATACGTATTAACACGAAGACGCAGTGCCACCGCGACAGTCGCAGCCGTAGGAATTGGTTAGTATAGCTTATTCCATATTAGCCTCAGAGATGTTCTTCATATAATCACAACACTTTAGCTAACATCTTTCCCCGCGCAAAGGATACGGCTTGGCGAAATACAAGGCCCTTAAAGCCGACAAGTGGCAGCAAGAACACCACGTCCAACAGGAACAATTATTCCGTAGCGCGGAAACCATTCCAGCAACCGTGCCCATACCCGTACCCACGGCAGAGACCAGTCGGAATGAGGCCGTAGAGAACGCTTACGGGGATCGCACGAGCCTTACCGAGCTCGAAGCTGCCGTCGCGGTATACGAGACGCGGCGGAAGAACTAAACTAAAGCACAATAGTATTGTCTTGTGTATTTGAGAATGCGAGAATACTCTTCTCCATCGGCGTTATCATCATGAGTACCTAACATTATGAGTACAATTAGCGGGCGTCTAGGCAGGTTATCAGGTTACGTTAGGGTTATATGGGCGGAGTTCCGGATGTTGCGAAAAGACATGAGATGGGCTTGAGAGGACGGTGTGTTAAAAAGAGGGCTGTTATGTCCCTATCCCTATGCCTATGAAGCTCCTCTCGATTTGGCGCCTTTGGTATTCTTACCCTAGGCTGCGACCGGTAGTAAATCACCTACGAGTTCTACATTTCCTCTTGTTCAAGTCTAAGAAGACATCGTCATTTTGAAAAGGCTGCGTGATTATTATTGATGATAATGTAGATTCCCAAGATAATGGATGCGTAGTCGATCTCTCTTTGCTTCTACCATGGTAAGCTGTTCAGGTATGTAAGTGGGTAATATGCCAAGCATCAGCCAACCATACCCCCAGTATGATTTCCATACCTCTTCTAGAAGATATGCAATCAGAATATATACCTTGTAGTTATCGTCACTCTACTACGCATGTTCGGGATTCAAAGTTATGAATATTTTATATCCCAACAGAAATCGCTGGTTTTATCCCCTTAAGTCCTGACCGCCTGGTCGGGTAAGATATTAAACGAATCAGGTAGACTAGTTCATGACGTTTGCTCGTTACCAAATACATACAATCCGAGTATGTATAATTCAGGATCTACATAATCGCATGATTCCCCCCTTTTGATTCATAAGGACTTAAGGGGATACCATCTTACCGCTCATAGGAGTTCGGAATTTATAATAACTTGACCCCTATTGACTCACTCGGCCTTGCCGGCTCCGCTCTTACTCATTCGTGTATATAATTAACTCCTTCTCAATAGTATCCTAGAATAAAAAGCGCAACAGGGCATCACCAAAATGGCCGAGAATCAACTTACCAAGTATCGCGGCAACTGCCATTGTACCGCGTATGTGTTCGAAGTTGACCTTCCGGGGGATATCGAAAATGGCTTGCAGTGCAGTTGCAGCTACTGCTGTAAGAGAGGCGCCGTTTTCCTGGCCCCAAACAATAACAACGACATCAAGTTCGTGAAGGGTGATCCGGCCGCGCTATCAAACTACAACTTCGGAGGCGTCAAGCATCAGGTGAGCTACCTTGAGAGCATATAGTTTAGATGCGAAATGAAACCAAACCAAATATTGAAGCATTGACTGACACCTCCGTTATAGTTTTGTTCAACCTGTTGTACTTTTCTATTCCGTGTTGACTCGAAGAAATACGTCAATGTAAGTCCCTATATATATATATAATCCCATCCAAGTCTCCCAGTTACTACACGGTAGAAATTCTAACATAGTCTCAGTTGCGAGCACTCCAGAAAATCAAAGCATGGGATCTAGGCACGCAACCGTGAGTCGATCACCTACAAGTGCTTCCATAAAACGGTAGGAAGCTTAGCTTTTCCCCCTTATCACTAGACTCGACGACAAGGCAACCCCCCCAGCGTGGAGTCCTCCCACGTTCAACGGCCAGGAACCCCCAGCCGAAATCGAGGGCGCAAAGATATATACCGGGGGTTGCCACTGCGGAGCCGTCACTCTGGCTCTGAAGTCAAAGCCGATTGATAGCACATACGAGGGACTCATAATGGAATGCGACTGCAGCATATGCACTCGAGTATGCTTTCCTTTCTCCCCCTTATTCCCTTAATCCCAACAGCTTTCCTATTCTATCTATATACCTACACATCCCACTCAACCCATACCTATTCCATAGTCTCTATAATCGAATCCTATACAATAATCTCACCACTTCCCCTCTCCATAGAACGCGTACTGCTGGATCTACCCCAACAAGCCACAAGTCACCATCGTAGGAGCTGCAGAAATGAGATACTATTCCTTCGGCGGTGGCGTGTGGCGCAAGTCGTTCTGTCGGACCTGCGGGGTGCCGGTACATAATCGCATCGAGGACTACACGCCGGCGCAGATCGAGGAGTTGCCTGTCGAGCAGCAGCAGTGGGCCCGGGATCATCTCGACTGGTCGCCGGTCAACCTGCGGGTTATGGACGGAATCGATTTAGGCGAGCTGAAGATCAAGCGTATTGATGGGTCGACAAGGTCTGGACCACCGAAACCGGGTAGTTACGTGGATCCTTGAGTGTAGTTGGAATATGTTTCGATAGGCGTTGGATACTGGGGTGGAAGGAGGTGGTGTCTGGCTGCGGTAGGCCTGATAAGGAAAGGTAGTGAGGGTTTAACGAGAGAGGGTATTTAGGCCGTAGACCTGGATGGGATATTAGGAAGTTAATATAGTCTTGGTTATAAACTTGACTTGGTGTTATTTAACAGTGAGTTGGTTATAATAATAAATAATATAAGTTTCGGTCTTTGAGTAAACAAGACACTCTGAAAATACCGTTATAGAATTGCCTTGGCTCAATTCGTAGACTCGTGCCGTATTTATTCTGGTTCACAACATGGATGTAGTTATAGATGTTTGTTATAGACCTCCTGTTCAAAGCAAGCTAGATATACACGAGGGTATGGTTTAGAAAGCACTCACTCCGAGCTGGAACTTTTCGTTGTGTAGACAAGTTCTAATTACGAGCTGTTTATAAGCGCATACCAGAATATAGTAACTTACACACATCATGGTTGAGTACTACCTGGTCTCCGGTATACTGTCACTAATATATCCGGCAAGGATCCTATACCATCTACGTACTAAACACACTCTTAAGTTATAGTAGAAATCCGACTTATCTCTTTCATATCTCCCCGGATTAAAATAGGCTACACATAATATACGCATACTAACCGTTGCTGTTATAAACTCGTATATCTACTTCATACCCTAATGAGAAGGGTGAAGATGACTATACAAGTGACCGCTTTTAAGTATTACTTGATATAAAGTACTAGCACTGAAGAGAAAGGGCTTGCAAGTCTTCTATGTTTCAACCGTATAGGAATCAAGCAGATATTTCTACAGACAACTTGTATAACCTCTTGTATTTCCGGTTAGCTACTAGCATTGCTTAGTTCTATGCATCTTCCCAAAGTCCAGGACAATCTTATAAGTTTACGATAATAGAAACCCGCCTCGCCAATGCCAACTATCTAATCCGTCAAGCGCGGTGTTTCTATTGGAGCGCATATATCTAATTAGCAGCTACGGAGAATATACGATTCGTTGATAATCGTCTCTTAGGTCCGATTAGGCAAGTCTTAGAGCCAATACTAAGCTATACGTAGTTGTTTTGATTTGTGGAAATACTTCTTTATACGTGGGCAACTCGGACAAAAAATGGTATGAGGCACTTATGTTGAAGAGTAAATTCCTCTGTTTGTACCAACATTAAGCTGCTTGTAATCTGATTGTCGGAATTATACAGGATATACTTTGGCAAGCTTACCTCTTATTAGAGTATACAAAGGGGTACTATTAGCGTCTTCATAGTAGTAGCAGTGGGGGTAAGAGGGGTAAATAATACCCTACTAACATACGTCAAGCAGGTACAGGCGATGTGGACTACCCTGCGTCATATCCCACCTTCTTTATGTGTACAAACTTACATGTACGTATAAGTAAAGTATATAAAATGGAAGTAACTAGAAAACGCCCCGTTTCTTGGCTAGTAAAAAGTAACCTTAACCTGAATTATGTCACATACAAATACTAGACACATCTTCGTTAGTTGTTTACAATATATTACTCGTACCAACACCTGTCTTCTACGTTAATCTAAGCGCGAATAGACACAATGGCAGATCTCAAGTATACTAGGTGAGTATAAGCTACCTCTTATCGACCTTATAGCCTTGATAGAGACTACCTAGTCGTATATATTCTAACTACAAATTAGCAAGACCTATACTCTCGCCTCGGGCGACAAGATCCCCGCCATCGGCCTAGGAACTTGGCAATCTCCCAAGAATGAAACTTCCAAGGCCGTAAAGCACGCCATCTCCGTAGGTTACCGATATATCGACACGGCCTTTGCCTACGGTAACGAATCCGAGGTTGGCGAAGGAATCCGTGCTTCTGGCGTACCTCGCGAGCAAATCTGGATCACAACCAAGCTCGATAACCCATGGCACAAGCGCGTCGCCGAGGGTATCGATGCTTCCTTGAAGAACCTTGGTGTCGACTATGTTGACCTCTACCTCATGCATTGGCCCAGCTCTACCCGTCCCGACGACCTCAAGAAGCACTACGACGACTGGAACTTCATCGATACCTGGCGCGAGTTGCAGAAATTGGTTGGTACCGGCAAGGTTCGCAACATTGGTGTTTCCAACTTCGGTATCACCAACCTTGAGAAGTTACTGAACGATCCCTCTTGCAAGGTAAGTCTATGTTTTCTTCTGTCTTGAAAAAAACCATAGCTAACAGTTCGCAGATTAAGCCGGCAGTTAACCAGATCGAGCTTCACCCTAACAACCCCTCGCCGAAGCTGGTCGCCTACTGCAAGGAGAAGGGTATCCACGTCACAGGCTATTCGTGCCTAGGTAGCACCAACTCGCCCCTATATAAGGACCAGACACTACTGGCCATTGCCCAGAGCAAGGGCAAGACGCCGCAGCAGGTTCTTCTGCGATGGGGAATCCAAAAAGGCTGGGACGTTATTCCCAAGTCAGTCACGCCGGAACGGATCGAGGGAAATTTTGCTCTGGACGGGTGGGAGCTGACGGAGGAGGAAATCAAGAAGCTTGACAGCCTGCCGGACCGCTTCAAGGTCTGCGGGGACGATTGGTTGCCTGTCAAGGTTTTCTTCGGTGACGACGAGTAACGTTTTGAGATTTGAAAGCTCCTGATAGAGACGACGACTCGGGTTAGAAAGCCTGGCGCATTTAGACAGATAGATCTTGAATTAAGTAAAATCGCAATACCATCGTCTTAATGTGATTTAACCATGGGTTGAACGTAATAGGGTTGTAGCAGTACTCATAACTTTCCCTTCCTAGCCTCCTCTTCTAATACCAAAGCTACACTTCTTCTTATTTGTTCCGCCAACGCTACTCCTTCGTCATCGTCTAACTCCTCGCGCACTCCGCGGCCAAACATCGTAAAGCTTTCTCTAAACCTCCCACTAGCGCGTATCTCGGGTCGTGGGATGAGATGGTAGTGCACATGATTCACTACCTGCGCGGCTGCAGCACCATTGTTTTGAACCACGTTCCAGTCTTTGACCCCCGTGGCGCGCACGAGGGCCGCGGATAGTACGCGTAGGTAAACGCCTAGCTCGGCGGCTTCGTGGGATGTGACATCGGTTAACTTGGAGCGATGGGCGCGAGGGCATAATAGGAGATGGCCCCTAGACAGGGGTAATATATCGAGGAAAGCGACGAGCGTAGGCGTTGAAAGTACGACGAAAGCCGGGGGCGCGAGTTGGAAAGGGTCGATAGAAGGGGAGTCTGCTGAGGGGGGTTGATCCGGAGGGAAAGGAGAATAGCTGGAGGATATGGAGCAGAACGGACAAGGATCGGTGGCGGAGGGAGAGGCGCCGGGGTCGAAGGGTGGGATTATTTTGGGTTCTTGTTCTGACATGGTAGAGCAAAGCTTTCGAGGTAAAAGGTTGAGGTGAGTTGGGTAAATTCTAATGTGTGGATGACATTCAAGACGCTATTTGATCTATGTAAATCAAGCTAGGTAACCTAGTTATAACAAAAGGATAAATTCTATAATATAATGAGAAAGAAGACAAGTAATCCAAAAAAAAATGCGCAGTATGTCTTGTGGTTTTAGGAAATAAATAAGCAAAGAGAGTTGATTGCCTCGGCGTGTTGAGACTTGACATATTTCCAATTGGGAGATTATGCATAAGATTAAGCTCCAGCATTACCGCGGTACAGGTTCCGTGTAACTCCAAGTCCCACAGATAGCCGTCCTTCGCTTTTTGCATTTTATGACATATTTGTCATCATCATCGGTAAGTTATCCATATCCTTGTCCGATTCTGCCGCCTTTTTTTTACTCACTGACCGCCTTTTTTCTCAATTGATTGTTAGCCACTGTGATAGTCAGTCGATTCCGGCCATTCATACTTACATTCATATATCCGTCCACCCGTACCAAAACAAAAACACACTTCAACAGCCAAACGAAAGAACCCCCCAAAACAACCTAAATTAAAAACGCAATGAGCGCACGCGAAGCCTACCAAATCCCCTCCTCCGCCGGCGGCGCGGCTACCGGCGGCGCAGCCTCAGGCACGCGGAGCAGCGCCTTCGACATGGACGGCGGCGCGACCATGCACTACATCTGCGGCGACTGCGGGACCAAGTTCCCGCTGAAGCGCAACGACCCCATTCGCTGCAAGGAGTGCGGATGTCGCGTGCTGTATAAGGAGCGTACCAAGAGGTAAAGTTCCTGTTCTTCTTTCCCTCTCCACCCTCCCCTTTTCTGCTACCGTGATCTCGTTGAGGTGGGTGGGTGAGCGGGTGGGTGGATGGTAGGCGGTAATGCTAATATGATGGCGACAGGATGGTGCAGTTCGAGGCGCGGTAATAGGCTACGCGGAATAAAACGGAATAGAACGAGATGATAGATATGCTCTCGATCCTTAATAGCGAACTTTGATGGTTTGGCGTCACATTTGGCTAGTCACACCACCGAAGAATAGTTTCCTTACGCGGCGGAGATACCATGTCGTGAGCTACATGTGGAAGTAGGACAGACAACATTCTTAGGGGTTTGATAGGATGTCCAGAAGCTGTCTGCATCGCTACAGCTTACATAGCATGCAACCTGGAGTTTGGGCGTCAGTTTACCAAGGGAACAAAGATATTCAAGTCTCGAGGAATCGAGCAAATAAGAAATTTGGTATCATTACGCGCCTGTCTATGCCCCCATACGATCGTAACTCCCTAGACCCTAAAACCTTTGTACCCTATGATGTATAGTGAATGGCAGTAAGATAAAATAAATCCCCTTTTTATTCTCTTCTCTGCGTATGTAAATACTTGGCAAAGCTGGCATCGTCCATGACCGAATCCGCATTTGCCCCCGTCGCAGCCTCATACCTAGCCTGTAAACCCTCGCGGTCCATTTCATCGTCCACATCATCGTCGTAATCATCTGCTTCCTTCTCATCGCTATCGTCTTGCATGTCCTCATCGTCATCCGCTTTAGGTACCTTCACACCACTATCCCTGGTATTATTCGCACCCATAGACATACCCTTCATCATCTTGTCTAACTCCTTCTCGCGGGCCTTCTGTCTCTGGTCCTCGCGTTCCTGGCGTTTACGCTCGAGTTCGGGGCGGTAGTCCTTCTTGAATTCATCTGCCTTCTCCCTTACGGCAGCGAAGAAGTCGTCGACTCCAGCTCCCGTCATGGATGAAACCCCTACCACGCTTAGGTGGGTATAGAATTCCTCCAGCATCATACTCATCGAGTTTAACAAGCTACTCATGTAACCACTACCTGAACCCTCGCCCTCAACACCACCAAACGCGTTGGACGCCTCGTCGTTTGACAATGCGGCCTGGAAGGCGTCGTAATCTGTCATCCACTCTTTAGCAAAATCTGCGTCCTTGACATCCGTCTTGTTGAACACCAAAATCATAGGTAGCTTGGTCTTGTATAGAATCGAACAGGCGTATAGCATATTGCTCATGAAGGTACTAGTCGAAGCGGTTCGAGGAGTATCGATGATGTACGCAATGACAGTCGGGAAGGTAGAAGCGAGGGACTCGAGAAGGATTTGACCTGAGGCAGACCAGACGAAGACTTCAATTTGACCGGCTGTAATAAGACATATCAGTCAGCAATCTTGCTGTAAATAAATCTTCAAGTACCTAGGTAGCCATACGTGTATCAACAAGAATATTCTTGATAGGTTTCTTATTTGGAGTTTCCGGTTCTAAACTAGTTCTCTTTTCAAGCAACTTTAAGATCTGATCGACCTTCGTCGAGAATAGGTTCAAGGAAGTCAAGATTCCGCCGTTAGGGCCTAGGTTATACTGTTTCATGACTTCTTTGTAATTCACCGAGTCGCGAATATCGATATTACTCTCGAAAGGAACATTAAGCACAGCCGGATCGAGGTTAATTACATATGGAGGTTCTCTCTGGCCGTGTAGGTGGGCGTTGATACGTTGCATGAAGGTTGTCTTTCCAGATCCAGCCATACCCACGCAAACGATGGCGACAGGCTCTGAGTTTGCTGTTGCCGTTGAGGGCGCGGCAGCAGCAGCCGAGGTAGACTCGGACGTGGAAGAGGAGGCCATTCTCGTCGCGTTCACTTTAGTTTGTAGGTGATATTGATATGATGAGAAATAGAAACGTTGAGACTAGTAAAGCGATTAATTGAGAAAATATTAATAAGTTATGTCCTTTCGGTTTGAATAATTTAGGTAGATTAACGATTGCGGGGTGGCGGGGCAGATAGCTTTAGCTTTAAGGTTCTTGGGTTATCGATAGATCTAGGTACCTACATACTAGTTCCTGGTTTTATTGATTATTTGCATATCATTATGTGCATATAAAAGAATACATGAGATCAAGACTTACATCTTTCAACAGTCAGTTAACTCAATGGCAGTCTATAGCAGAATTGCTTAAACTAATAGTCACTTACTCAAAGGCTTACTTTTTGAATAATATAAGGCTTCATACAACATCTCACGAATATTCATACACAATATAACTATCACCAAACATATCACAAAGACAAGACAAATATTTGAGGTGGCCGATTCTCTCATTTTCTCGCCCCAATGAGGGCTTGAGCTGTGATAACTATCCGCTAGGGACAGGGGCATTTTTGTTTTTGTTTTTTCAACCTGTGCTAGTCGTCAAGACTAGATGGATCTTGTCATTTCGTTATGCCAGCAGCTTCGTCAAAGCGCTAGCGGAACCAATTGCAGCTTCAGAAGCATTCTTCCCGTCACCTTGCCACGCCCATATTTCTCTCCCCAAGGGATGGAGGATACTATATGGGCGACTGTGTGTTGAGTTTCTTTTTTTTTTCTCCCTCTCTGCTTGCTTGAAGACATAGAAGATAGACGGCGGCGAAGAGGCGCGCCAGCCTGTGGTGCGTTTTTTTTCAATTTGTCCTCTCGGCTGCTCTTTGCGAGTTTTATTCCCAAAAAATTGACAATCTGGTAGAGTCGTGATGGTATCATGGCGCCGTGTTCGCGTGTACTCGCTGTGGAAATGAAAAAGCAACGTCGTAAAAAAAAGACAAATCCGCAAAGTGTGTTGCCGCAAACCTTTCCTCTTTTCTGGTCTCTAAACTGTTGTGTATTGTTTCTTTTCTTTTTGACTTTTTTTTCGCTCAGCAATGAAGCTGAGACAGACAAGTCGACTGAAAGTAATTCTTAATGCCTAGTTCAAAGACCGATAAAGACCATGGGGGTGTATTTTGTGAATATTGAGTTGAGTTGGAAGTGTGTTCCTTTGGGTCATCAGAAATAAGAAAAGTCACAATGGGTGATAACATGAGCAAACCGTGTACGTTCATACCCCCTTACCTCTCCCTGATAAAAAAAAAAAACTTCATCAAAATGGTCGGCCAACCTCGATGAGAAGTGGAGTTGTAGATATTCTCCCAAATGGTTTTCCAATCTGATGATAATATCTGGGAGAGATTGAGTTGAGGGAAGAAACCAGTGACAAGGAAAAGCAGAATCATTCAACTCCGTGACCGTTCGTTCCTCGCCAAATTTAAGACACATCCCAACGCCGTATTCCCCCAAGTGACCTGATATTTTAGTGGTTATATTTGTTGGTGCAAATCCGAGAGCTCGTTAGATCGTCTTAGGCGTCCGAGCGTTGCTCATATCCACGACGTCGTCGAGATGGTTGCACATGGCCACGAATAGGTCAAAGAAAAGTTTGCCGCCCCGTTCCATCTCTGTCTGCATGGTTCCGCTCCTCTTAAATGTCTTACGACATCGGATAATTAGGGCGAGATAGTGAGCGCGTAGTCGCGAGTCCGTGTCCGGCGTGTTGTCGTAGGCGTACTGCGCCGATCTAAGGATCGTTCCGACGTCGATGCCGCTCTGTAGGCCTTGCTTCCGAAGAGCTAGGCGCTTGAGCTCCTCGAGTCCGTACCTATCGGCGGCGCAGTACACGACGGTATCCCGTAAGAGATATTGTCCCACGCTGGCGACGTGCATTGTGGCCTCGACAGCTCCGCGGCCAGCTCGGTTGTTTTCTGAAGGGTCGGGTGATCTCACGGCATCCTCGAGCTCCCAAGAGTTTCGGTGCTTGTTATGTACCAAGCGTGGGTAGTAGTCACCCTTATAGAGGTACTCGAGTACGGCCGAGAAGATCTCGGGTTCTTCGTCCGGAAGTGAAATCCTCTTGCTCTGCGCCTCGAGGTATTGGTCCCGACATGCCCGTTCGAAAAAGGGCGATTGGGATAGGACCTCCTCGTGGGCCGCGAACAGTCTTGCTTCTCTCCCGATCGTCAATGTGACGATAGGAGAATTGAGGGTCCTCTTAGCAGGGAGGACCTCCTCGATCGACCGCTGCAGTTTCGCTAGTTTCTGAGTATCCCGAACCTTGTTGTTGTTGTTGGTATTGTTATTGCTGCTGTTGTTAGACTTCTTCAGCCTCGCCGATTTGTCGACTCGGTCCCCGGACCGGAACGAGCGTTTGAACATTGCGGCGGTGGTGTTTCGGAGAGGCGAAAGAAATCGAGACAGCGTCGTTTTGTTGTTAGAATTTGGTTCGGGATAGTAGATGAGGTAGATGAGGGAAATTTATCTAAAAATTCCCTCTTCTGAGTTATAAATTGGCTAGAGAGTGACGAAAAGAGTGTAGAGTAATTTCGGGTTTCCGTTGGACGTAGAGAGTGAAGGAGTTGGTGAGAGTTTGACGCACAAAAAAAGAAAAAGGATTTACAGGAGTCCAGGCAGTCTATCCCAGAATCAATTCGAAAAAAGTGAACGAATGTTATCCGGAGATATCCTTGAGGTAGATTTGCGACCCTGATGGTTGTGGTGGAGGGGAGGGAGAACAAAAAGGAGAAAGGGGAACAGAAATGGAAGAGGGGTGTTGGTGATATTTATATTTTATTTTATATCTTAGCCGCATACCCTCCATTACGGGGGGACTTGGTCAATTCAGTTCAAATATACAGGCTCTAAATGTAACTCTTTTTGCTGTGATAAACTTGTTCCTCCAAGCCGCCATCCTACCCACCAACCCACCAATTGCCAATCCATGACAGCGCGGCAAAGAGAGACCCTTGACCCCTGACCCGCATGTTGATTCGTTAGGTTAGACCTCAGATCTCCGCCCCGATTTGCGTTTATGGCGCCCTACTGCAGGTAATATGAGTCTTGATCGTTAATGGATAGATTGTTGGTTAACTTGTGAATCTTGGTCAGCTGCAGTACTTTTCTAGGGACTTGGTCCATTACCTACATGTAGGCGATAAACATGTAGATACCTTAGGTATGTACAGCACTGACAGCATGACAAGTCACCACCCCCTGTTCTGCCTAGGTCCCTAGGTCCCCGCGTTCCCGCCTCATCGTGGGTGCGACCCAGGCCGCCCAGGATATATGCTAGTGACTCCAGCAGTTCGGGAGGGGTATGTCGTAGAAGAACCGGGCAAGTTAGCACGTGGCGAGGGTTCAATGTGAGGCATGGTGTTAATAGTATATATGTAATATCTCCGATAATTTATTCAAGTTGTATAAATATCATATAAATGGAAATCATCCCAAAATAATAGAATGGCTGAATGACCGTATGCTAAACTTCTGTGCTCCCTCGAGATATTACATTGATAACGCGGACAATAGAGACTCGGCGATGATCTCATCGAATCCTCACAGTTTCGTTGGGTCGAATGAGATGGACGGCGGGACGCCAACTTATCATATTGCAGTTCACTGCAGTACACTGCAGTACACTGCCTCGAAGCTTAATAGTTGGCGCATTCCTCTTCGTGCCTCGGGCGAATAAGCGTTTACTCACGATGTTTCTCGCTTAAGATGGAAAACGTGTAAAGCAAACGGGAACGAGTTGAAATGTTTCGTTTAGCGTGAGCGGTGATGGGGGCGGTGATGGACGACGTGGGGTTGGCATAGGACATGGTTAGGTACTTAAGGGATTCTTGGCTTAGATAAATATCTACCTAGGTACGTACCTAGATACGTCAATATCATGATAACGTGTCATGCATCCAATGCATCCAATGCATCCAAGCATAATATGTATCTAAACTATAAAATATCTGTTGTTGGGCAGCGCTTCAATTAGAGGCCATCGTCAATCTACTTTCCATTCACATTTTTAGGTGCCAGGTGTATTCTGACTCCACTCTCATAACCAAACTCCAGATTCTCTAAACGTGGTTCATAGGTCATGTTAGTTATAGTTAGTCTACTACTTTCTCTAGGTTGACATCCAGTAAACCAAAAGGGCGCTTAATCTATGGCCCTGATAGCCATCTACAATATCTCTACTTGACACAAGTATCTTACTTATGCAAAGCAATACCAATCTCGTCTAACTCTGGTGAACTATACAGTCGGAGCATACCTTATAGCATACCTTATACTTAATCCAATAGAGAAGAACATCTTGCTTAGCAAGACGAATCGTGACGCACTGCTGTAATCGTCTCGCGCATGGCGATTAATCCGTACATGTACGTGAAAACTACCATTGAAGTGCTATTAGTATTTCTTCCTTAAAATTCTCATGTTTTGGTCTTCTTACTTCCTGGAGATATCGCGACAAAAGCGATACACGATGCGATGATGGCTCCCGGTACTTTTATGATCTCAGGGTCCAGGAAGAAAAGCCCCGAGTGCCCAGTGACGAGTTTGCCAAACCCTGCCCACGCGAGATACGCACCGCTACAGAACATGACTCCGGCCGCATGTCCTATAATAGGCTATTTATTGATTTTTAGTTAGTGATAGGCTATCATGATGAACAAGCTAAATAACACTCACAGTTTGGCGGCGGATACTATTGAGGAAGCATATTTCGATGAATGCGATAGCTGTTGTGATAGTCCAGACGTTAATAATACAGAATATTTTCATCGGATCCTGGTCAAAGAGCCCCTTGTCTTGTTGCCGTCATCAGCACTTGTCAATAAATAGGGAAGATAGTCGCTATTCAACATACCTGGATGGTGTCTGATTGCCCCGGCACTGCCACATGGTGGGTTCTCTGGATGATGCGGTAGAGTCGGCGATTTAAAACCGCCATGCCCAGAGGGAACAAGGCAGCCCCAATAGATCAGCGTATTCATGATTGGGAAGACGTGAGAAACCGTGTAGAATAAGCTAAAGCAGTACCGGCGGATGTGACAGGTAGCTTTATTCGGCGGTGATAGGAAACGAAGACAGTAAGCCTTGAACCTGTGCCCCTCACAGGCGTTGGTGTCTATTTCAATTGCTTTTGGACAGAGAAGATGCATAGCGGTCCAGAGCTAATTGTCATATAATTGCCATATATTAGCATAGCCGTAAATTGAAGGAGTGGTGTAGCAAGACAGGTGGAACTAACCGTCACCTGCAGATGCCATGCCTATAGTATACACAAGGAGACGGTCGAGAACTGGAATAGGATAAGCCAACAAGTATGTTTGTCTTCAATCCCGAGCTTATACTTGAGCGACATTCCGAATACAAGTGAGAGGTAGGTGACGAAAACGAAACGAAGAAATAGGAGGCACTTCTGGCTGATGAAGTTACAAGACGAATGGCACGCCCGAAGGTAGATACACTACTAAAGATTAGAATCTCTTTATAGATAATAGTGAGAGGCATCAAGGGGAGCAATTTACATGACTATCTGATTGGCCCGGATGACTAGTCTGGCTTGGATGGCCCGGGAGACCTGGATGTCCCGGGTGACTTGGAAGTCCGGGATGAGTTGGATGTCCCGGATTGCTAGGATGTCCTGGGTGACTAGGCTGGCCCTGTTGGCAAGGATGGCCCGGTTGGTTAGGATGACTTGATTGTCCCGGGTGACTGGGCTGGCTAGGATGGCTGGGTTGTCCCGTATGGCCCGGCTGTCCAGAATGACCCGGCTGGTTAGGATGACTTGGCTGTTCTGGGTGATTAGATTGTCCCGGATGATTAGGCTGTCCCGTATGGCCTGGCTGGCTGGGATGGCTAGGCTGGTTAGGGTGACTTGACTGTCCTGGGTGGCTAGGTTGTCCCGTATGGCTCGGTTGACTAGGATGACTGGGTTGGCTGGGTTGATCTGGATGACACGGAGGCTGGGCTGGATGGCACGAAGACTGCACCGGATGCTGGAGCAGCGGTGTTCTGTCCGTCGGTTCTGACATGGCGGATATGAGAATATGAATACTTATGTAAACTCAGAGGTGTTAGTAGGTAATATTGATTGAACCGATGATCGAATAATACAGAATAGTCCTGTATCCTCGATCCAGAACAAAGAGGTGCTATAAGTAGAATGTTTAGCATCGAAGCTCAAAGAGAATGAACACGAAGAGGTGAAGGATTGGGGATGGATGGGCAAGAAGCTAAGGTGGGAGATGAAGTCTAGGTTAATAACGATGGAAAAGAGGAAAGTATGTCTAGCATCAAATATCATTATAGATTGAAGGAGCAATAAGGTCTTCTTCAACTAGCAAGGAAGTAACAAGTCGGCTCAACTTATATTTCTTCATCGATGTGTTAGTGAGTGACGTGAAGGTACTATCCTATCTTTAGGGAAGACTTAAGAAAGATTTGTGCGTCTACATCCAATTAACAATTCATTATTTTGTCAAAACTAAAGACATCCCTAACCAAGTCAAATACTAAATTATTCATAATACATACCTAATTATTTGAATACAGAACTAATACTAGATATCACAGCTCTCTAAGAAGTATCAACGTACCTAAACTACCTTCTAAAGTGGACCTTCTATAACCTTCCTGCCTAAACAAGCCAAACTAACGTATACGCCGAATCTTATTGGCCAGCTCATCCTCCAACCAGTGAAACAACCCTCCTCTTATCGATAGCGCTGACAAGCCCAAGTTAAGGCCACTTTCACCTGAGAAGCTCCCCGTTCGTTTTATTCGTAGCTCCAATTCTAATTGCATTTGATCCATTAAGCTGGCCTCAAAATCTTCGAGGCCAGCACCGAAAGCCTCACCATCAGACCTAACAATATTCCCGATAAGAAGGAAATAAGAAAAAAAAAACCCCCCAAAAATGTTATCAGGTCTTCAAAATCCCCGGCAAGCAGCCGCTCAGCTGTTAAATTTCGGATTGATTCTTTCCACCGCATTCATGGTACGTCTCGTCTATCTACCTCTCCTCAACCCATTGTCGCATATCGCATGTCGCATATTCTAACTAACTCCCCTCCCTCACAGATGTGGAAAGGTCTATCCGTCTTCGCTGACTCCCCCTCGCCCATCGTCGTCGTCCTCTCCGGATCCATGGAACCCGCCTTCCAGCGCGGCGACCTACTCTTCCTCTGGAACCGGAACATACTAGCCGAGACGGACGTAGGTGAGGTGGTAGTCTACAACGTGCGAGACAAGGAAATCCCCATTGTCCACCGCGTTGTGCGCAAGTTCGGCACCGGTGCCCACGCGCGTCTGCTCACCAAGGGCGACAACAATGCCGCGGACGATACCGAGCTATACGCACGCGGTCAAGACTACCTCGAGCGTAAGGATATTATCGGCAGCGTATTTGCGTATATCCCTTTTGTAGGCTACGTCACTATTATGCTGAGCGAACACCCCTGGCTCAAGACCGTTATGCTGGGTATTATGGGATTGTTGGTTGTGCTACAGCGCGAATAGTTATGTCTACAAAAGGGGGGGGGCGTCTGGAAAAGAACACCTAATGTTGGCTTGCGATTTGGGTTTATTTTAGAGGCTATCTTGTCAAATAAAGAATTTACCATTAACCGGCTAATGCAATTCTTGGTCCAAACAAGATCGTGACTTGTACTAGGACAAATACTTGATGTTAAATTAGGGAGCTAGCAATCATGAAGCTTTCTTAAAACGCCAGCTAGACATTCATCTAAGACTTATAGTCTACGGAGAGAGGTGCTCTGTCTCTACGAAATCATTCACTAAATATAGGCTTTTACAGTGGGATTCAGATCCAAGGAATAAATAGATTCTGTGAAGACGTTTGTCTATGGGTATTGAACCGATTGAATATGTACCTTGTAACCTTACAGGTCCTTTCCTGCGTAGAATCTATACACACTAAAAGGTAGAAGCGCAGTACCAAACGATGTGCCAATTAGGACCGGCATCATCAGATCTAAAAATACAGCTTGCGGGTTCAGAGTTAATATCAGCTCAGCTAGCTCTCAACGGGAATCATTAGTAATATTCCTCATCTCCGTAGTCGTCTCCGCCATAACCTCCCTCGTCATACCCTGTTTCGTCGTAGTTTGGTTGTTCTTGATCATCATAGTAGTCGTCGTAAGTTTCTTCCGCGACGTGCTCTTCCACTTCTTCATTCCCGTCTTCTACGCCCTCGTCATTGACGGCTGCCTCGGGTGCTGCTTTACCGTTGGTAGCCACAACGCTCTCCGCACGACTTGCGGGACCACTTCCGCTGCGAGACGCTACCGATCCAGGTCCTCGGTCTTTGTCGCTCGTGAAGAGATTCTCGATGGCGTCATAGTTGATACGTCTCGAATATGTGTCCCGCTTCTTCAGTGCTTCGATGGCTGCCTCGCCCGGAGTAGAAGCAGGTGTGAGCTGGCCTTCACCAATTCGCGGCTTCTTTACGCGATTGCGTTTCCGCTTCGGAGGGCCCAACTCCTCCATCTGCTTACGATAGATTATCTCCTGTTTCTTTCGTAGCCAATCTTTGTTCGCGTTGATCCATATGCTCTCCTTGATTTTTACTTCCTCAGGAGAGAGCTTGCAGAATTGAACCTCGGGGTCGTCGGCAAACTCATCCTCGCCAATGATTTCGTCCATATTCGTCGTTCGTTGTGGGAGAAGAGAGCGCGCCCACTCTGCTTTGATGTGCGCGAGATGTGCAGCAGTAGCTAGGGCCTTGCCGTGCTCATCGCTATGCGGGTCATTGATTACCTCGTTGATCTGCTGCTCCAATACGGCCTCATCACGCTCCCATTCGTCATCAAAAGTGAGTGATGGTTCGGGAGCTCCCTTCTTGCGACCACGCCGCCGAGTTCCTGATTGCGTCGGTGCTTCCTCTTCCTCCTGAGCCTCGCCTTCGAGCTGGTCGTCCGAAGCACCATACGTCGCTGCTAGCCCATCCATTGCATTATCATCCTCTGGGTTTTCAGCCGCGAGGCCCTCTACAACATCCCTGTCTGCGCTCTTCCGGGGAGCGGGCTTCGGAATCTTATCCGGGTCGAAAGGGGCAACCAACTCTCTTCCCTCGGAGTTATCGAAGGATCTTGGTAGGTAGTCTTTAACTTGACGCATTCTGGAGGTGTCCGGGTGTGGGCGAGGTACTGGCGGCGGCGGCATTTCAGTCGAGGGTCTCGGCGTAGCAGCAGAGCTGTCGGGCGCCGGTGTTCCAGCAGTTGAACTCGACTGGTCTTCTTCACCATCGATATCTTCGATTGCACGCTTCCTTTTTCTAACTCTGCCCTCCTTTTCCATCTTCTCTTGCCATTCCGTGGTAGATTTGTAGAATGCCGGCGGGTCATGGCGAGACTCGAGAAACTCTTGATTTAGGAAATCTTCGATGGACAGTTCACTACTTTCCGTAACAGTGAATTCGTCAAGACGTTGCTCGATCGTATGCGTCGTGACCTTGACAACATAGACGATCTCTCGGACGGTACGCCTAAAGTTCCACATGCGTGCCGCCATAAGAATACAAGCTCCGCAAATGCCAGAAGGCCGGCGGCCCATAACCATCCAGTCACGACCCATTCTCTGGCATAGCCGAGTTGCATCAGCTGCAACCTTGTTGGTAAAGTCACCAAAATCAAGCTTTGAGCAAAAGCGATATATAAGATCTTCCGGAATGATAGACTTGACATTGTTGCTCTGGAAGGAATAGATATTGCTGAGGTCTTTGAAAATATGGCCAAGTTCATAAACGTTTACCTAGACATTGTAAGTAAAAGGGGATGGAAGGGGGTGTGGAATATGTCACGGAATACTTACGTGAACGAGCTCAGCAAAATCGATAAGCATGACCTTGCAACGATCCTCTCTGCGGCAAGCAGTATAGAGGCATACGGGAACCACTTTATCCATACCTCGTCCCTGGAGCCAATTCTCTTCCATGACGAGTTTGAAGATCTGGATGCCGGCATCTACAGCGTTCGGAGGAACTTCCTTTAGCTGATGTGCAAAGCCTACCATCATGTTCTTGGCTGTAAACCAAGGTTAGTTGAACAGCCTACGATATGTTTCGTCTAAAATTAAACGTACCTTCACGAATAGTCTTCTCCCGAGCGTCCGTGAGACTACCGCCGAGTCGCCTATATTGCGATCCCAAATTTCTGGATGCACTCCCTTGATCGGCTCCGACAAAACTTCCGTGAACAACAGCAGCACCGGATGAATTTTCGCCGAACTGGACTTCGGCAACAATGTTAGAAGAGTCGATTTCACGACCACAGGCAGAACAGAAGCCATCAGTAATTGGTGCTAACGGATTAGAACAGTTGGGATTTGGACAAGGTTGCCGATCTGAGGAAGGTTTATTTTGTGAAGTAGGTGGTGTCATAGGCGTAGGACTTATTCCCATGGCTCTCATTTGATTTCGTTGTAGAACCTCTTTGATGCGATCACCAGGACCAACCCCCCTGGGTCTAAATTGGACACCAGTCTTCCGCGAAGACACCTTCGCGGATTTTAGAAATGACGACATGATTGGGGAAGCAAATATGGTATAAGAAGGTGTATAAGAATGTGTATAAGTGAATGGGTATAAGTGTAAGTGGTTTTATAGAAAGTGATAGGGAAGCAGTCGAATTGATATCGTATCGTAAGTAATCCAGCAATATAATCCCCTGTTAGGGGAATTACTGGATTGACTGAATGAAAAGCGTTGCCAATGAAGATGTCGTCCTAGAATGCAGGGTTCAATATAAGTAAGTTGAATAGAATATCCTGAAGCGGATCTGATATTGATAGGATTGGCTTGTATGTAAGTTGATTGTGAGAGTGGATGGTCGAAGCTGGGGGATGTAGTCAAAGAAAAAAGATGACTGCGAATTTTAGTGGATCACTAAGGAAGGAAGTGTGGTCGGGGTCGTGTGGTCAAGGGGTCTGGTGTCCAAAATTGATTAAGAAGGCGCTAAAAAGATTCCACCTAACTTTGCTAAAAGTTTAGCTGACTCATCCAGTACCTACTTTCAACAGGTACAAACAGGTTACGGTTCGAATTCGGTTGGGGACGAGATTAGAATTTGATTTTTATCTGCAGCTTAATTTCTTGCGTATCTACCGAATTGTTACTGATACAATGATAGCAATTCTACTAATGAACATAATTTTAAACGCAGATTTTGATGGTATGAAAATGCTTGAATGAAATAAAGCTCGCCTATATGCATATATTTAATACCTAAATGATTCGTTGCATTCATACATCTAAGATACCTATTTATGAAATCTTCCAAGGTGTTACCCGGTGTCGTCATATCACCAGAGCTTAAGCTGCGACATCTCACCTAAAACAACTAACTTCTGTCAAAACAAATAATGGATGGTCTTGACGAATTTGAAAAATCCCTCGCTGCAGAGAAAGCCGAGAGGGATCGCGGAGGCGAAAAAAGACATAAACACAGACATCATCACCGACGAGATCGATCATCCGAACGCGACCGTGATAATCACCGCCATAGCCATCGTAGGTCGCATGATCGTCACGAAGAAGAAAACGACGACGGCCATCGACACAAGCGATCGCGTCACTCTAAAAATGATGAGCACCACCACAGACGCGAACATCATAAAGATGACAATCGCGATTCGGACAGACGAGATCGCCATGTGAAGACTTCAGACGCGAATGAAGATCTGCCACTACCTGATGAGGAGATAGCTACAGAAGACTATAAGAAGCCAGAAGAATCTACTTCAAGTCTAGTTCGAGATTCTTGGATGACGGCGCCATCTGCGCTGGACATTGATTATACTCAGAAAGGCTCGAAACTTTCTAAACCTCCACCACCGCCTAGTCAAGGACCACAAAGGGAAATTCACAAGAGAGAAATCAATGCGGCACATCTACAGGAGTTAAACGACGGAAAGTCAGTAGAGGATCTTGAGCTACCAGCACAGCATGAAGTCGATTACATATTCGGCGATGGCGGGTCACAATGGAGGATGACCAAATTAAATGGTGTCTACAATACAGCCGAACAGACTGGAAGATCTGTAGATGAAGTGGCATTAGAACGGTATGGTAACCTGCGGGACTTTGATGATGCGCGCGAAGAGAAAATCGAGGTAGACCGACGCAAAGTCTATGGTGATGGTTATGTCGGCAAGGAGAAACCCAGCGGCGAACTGTTCCAGGAGAGGAAATTGAGTCAGGGTGTTCATGAGAAGCGAGAATCCTCACCGGCACCGATGGGCCTCGACCAAGGCACTGTTATTCCCGATGATGCATCAACTCACGTATCTACCCAAATCGACCAGACTACACTCAATCGACTTAAAGCACAGATGATGAAAGCGAAGCTAAAAAAGGCGCCAGATGCTGCTAAGCTAGAAGCAGAATACAACCAGGCCGCCGCAGCATTCGCATCAAAGGGTCCAGAAGCGGTTGTTCTTGGCGTCATGGAAAATCGCATGTTGGCAGGAACACGCGGCGAGGCTAAAGCTATCGATAATAAGCGAGGCCGCGAGAGAGGGAATGTAGAGCAAAACGATGATATGACAATAGAGGACATGATCCGTGAGGAGCGACGAACACGAGGACAGGCAGGAGGAGAAGGGTTACGATTAGCTGAACGAATTGCCAAGGATGTTAAATTCGACGATGATCTTGAATACATGGACGAGAATGCTGAGAAGCTAGCCAAGCGCGTACAGAAATCCGAGATCAACCTCAAGAACCAGGCTGTCGGCGAGTTCCAGAAGGTCAACAAAATCCTAGATAACTGCCAACTCTGCCATCACGAAGATCGCAATCAACCACCTATTGCACCTATAGTCTCGTTAGCAACGCGGGTCTATCTAACACTGTCTACGGAGCCGGAGCTGAGCGAGGGTGGTGCCGTTATCGTTCCTATCCAACACCGGACTAATCTGTTAGAGTGTGACGATGACGAATGGGAAGAGATTCGCAATTTTATGAAGTGTCTCACACGGATGTACCACGAACAGGGTCGAGAGGTTATATTCTACGAAAATGCGGCAGCGCCTCACAGACACATGCATGCCGCCATGCAAGCCGTTCCTATACCGTACGATCTAGGAGATACCGCGCCAGCTTTTTTCAAGGAGGCGATGCTCACGACGGACGAGGAGTGGACGCAGCACAAGAAGATTATCGATACGGGAAAGCGAGCTCGAGGAGGACTGGGCAAGCTAGCATTCAGGAGATCTATTGCTAAGGAGATGCCATATTTCCATGCATGGTTTACTTTGGACGGAGGCTTGGGTCACGTAGTGGAAGATTCTAACAGGTGGCCTAGGGGTGATCTATTCGCAAGGGAGATCCTAGGTGGTATGCTAGACGCGGAGCCGGATGTGATCAAGAAACAGGGACGATGGCACAAATCTGATAATAGGGTGGAGGGGTTTAGAAAGCGCTGGAAGAAGTTTGACTGGACCAGAGTGTTGACTGATGGATGAGATTCTTAGGTTGTCTATCAAATGAGACAAAATGTTGGTAGGATGAGAACATAATCAGACATTGAGGATTTAACTGTTGAAGCAATACAGTACATTTATGATTGAGATCTCATGGAGTATCTACTGTCTGCCCCTATTCATTGGTCAAGCCGTATCGTACAGTTGCATGTGCCCTTTTATGTGATGCCATACAGAGAGAAATACGTATATGAAAGCAGTAATCCCTGTAAGTTAATATATGGAGACAAAACGAGGGGCATTTCTCCTAACTGCCAACAGCTCAGCTGCCCCGCTTCAGCTTGTGTTACATGAGGGATTGTTCCCCGATGCTAGCAAGTTGGGTAGTTGCAGGGTGTTCTACCTGGGGCAAGACCTACTAGGTTAGAGAGAGGTAGGTACCTTATTAACGATGATATCACTGCTTTCCTATGTCTGATAACAACCTTATAGCTCTTGGCCGAAACTATTATCGAAACTACTTAATCGAAACGACCTTGCGACCTCAAAGAATAAATACAATTTAATTACCTAAGACAGTTTCTATCTGCATGTATGTACCTGCAGCCTAAAGATTCCTCTTATTGACTTTTACCTTGGTGGCATGATACAAACGGTTTATTATTTATCTCGTCGATATCGAAATCATAATTCATAATCCTTTCTCCTGCCGACTATTAAATCACCACTACTAACACTACCAACACTACCAACACCACCAGTTCCAACACCTCTATATTCCAAGTCGCCACCCAAATACTCTACCAAGATGACTTCCTCGCAGAAGCGCATAGGCAAGGTAAATACACACTTATCCATCCATCCATCCATCCATCCATCCATCCATCCATCCATCCCATCTATACCAAACCCCCCATCCCAAACATCTTATCTAACCGTATTCTCCCCCAACCCAGGAACTACAAGAATGCATGTCCTCCCCCCCAACCGGAATGGTCATAACCCTCCCCTCCGAATCCGATATCCACCACTGGACCGCGACGCTAGCCGGCCCCCCCGGCACCGTCTACAGCGGCGGCATATTCGCGCTCTCCATCGTCCTACCGCCAGACTACCCCTTCAAAGCACCCCAAGTAACCTTCGCGACGCGCATCTACCACCCCAACGTGACTAACGACAGCGTCGGGTCTATCTGCCTGGGCATGCTGAAGCCCGAGAACTGGAAGCCCGCGAGCAGGGTCCGCGCCGTCCTCGACGCCGTCCGCCAGCTCCTCATCGAGCCTAACCCCGACGACCCCCTCGAGCCCCGCATCGCCGACGAGTACAAGAATAACATCCGCGAGTTCGAGAAGACGGCTCGTAGTTACGTTACCCGCTATGCTCAGCAACCTGCTAAGAAATAGGTCGCCGTGAATTGTATATCTGGTAATTATTTGGTAGCCTGGCTAAGAGAGGCTGGTGGGGAGGAATATTGGTTGGACAGGTGGACGAACAGATACCCCCCTTTCCCTTTTCACGAGTGAGAGAGTAATCGAGCGAGGTATTCTAGGAAAGGAATAATTATCATAGGAATAGTAGCTACATCTGGATCCAGGGAAGAGAGAAGCTGCTTGTGAAAAACAACTGGCAGAGACAAGTCCGCATGGCTACCTTTGGTGGTTACGACGAGACTAAAATCCGAGGGCTAAAACCATTCAAACCCCATCATCTTTTCTACCTCATTTTCAGATATGTATTTACGGAGGAATAAGGCAGGAATTAGGCATGGTAGCATTATGGGAAACCTCTGACGATTCATATAAAGATATTCGATATGTTAATAACACCATGTAAATATGGTGAAATAATTACACTGAGCAGGTAGTCACTAACAAAGTTATTTGATGTTCAACGTCTCTGTTGTATTGATCTTTGGAGCAAATGCTTCTGCTAGCCGAATTTCCTGGCTATGGTTTGCGTATTCAGTGAATGCATATAATGCAACGCCAGTAGATGCTATATAACCTGCCCCTTTGTAATGCAGTATGCTCTGTCTAGTTTTTTTTCCGAACCTTAACAATGCAATCATATGGATAGGCCCATTGATGGTATCCGTATTACCCACGCCAAATCAGTTTGGTTTACATGTTTCTTGTCCTCCCGAAAAATATGAGGCCTCTACGACTTCCAAGCTCTGCCCCGTCGGGGAACGAGAGCGTAGGAATCAGTAGGCCTTTAATGAAAATATAACCTGTATCCCTTCCCTTATACAAATGAACTTGTTGTCCAGGCCATGAACAAAAAGGTAAAGCATTGTCTGCTTCCTATCTCTATGGTATTCCTCCGCTGGAAGAAAAAAATGTCGTATCATGAGATTTCGTCAATGCCTATCCATGCTGAAAATGAAATAAAGAGACGCCATGATAGACAAAACATAAGATTGCAGATTCCTGCTGCATTTGAAAGTGGTTTTGCTGTCACAACCCGGGTGGTTTAGGGTTGTCGTCTGACCATGGTGGGCGAACAGAATTGACAAAAGAGAATTGCCCTGGTAATAAAGACGACGATGCGGGTAGACTAGTTCGTTATGAGCTTGACTCCGTCATCTACGTCGGCCGAAAAGGTTGCCTTTCTTCTTGAAGTCTGAATCTATCGAGACGATATTGCCTGTCTGCTTTTCTCGCTCGGCTTTAACTTGAACCCTTCTTTCTTGCCTCTTTTGCTCCACCGTTTCTTGGCTGAGATGACCGAAACCGTTACGACGTTTGAAGCAGGCTTCTATTAAACCGTTGGCGTCGATAAGCCTGCGAGGGATCGTCTGCACCACCTGGAAGATCTCCATAGGATCTCCCACGCCCTTGATTTCGTTCTCGCCGATCTTGAAGATTGCTAAAGCGATTCGAAATAGCGTCTTGGATCCCTCGTAAAAGAAAACGTCCCATACACGTAAAGTACTCTCGATGGGTAAAGTCCCGATATAACAACTCATAAACCAAGCGGTCATACAAAGGGTAATAGGCGGAAGCCGAGTCGTCTCGGCTCGATGTCTGTGCCTCCAGCTCTTTGACCATACGACATCCGTACCGTCCAGCTCACCTCCGATCTTAGCCCAGACGTTAGGCATAGACTCCCTTAACGACGACATGAGCACTCCGAGATCAACATTCGCGCCCTCGAGGCTAGTTTCGTGCGTCCCAGGAAGATATACTCGGGCTATGATATTTAGTAACCAAAAAGCGTGTTCCTCGCTTTCCACGAAAAGCAGGAGTAAGCCTGCTAAAAAGTTGAGCGACTGGCAATATCCGATCTTGGGATTATAGATGGCAAAGGCGTGCAAGACACGGCGGAGAGATACGATCATCGGCTTCTCAGCAACGGGGATGATATCCTCGGTCTCTTTCGCAAGCGCTTGTTGGCTGCTATCAGGGACGGAAACAGGGCCGGAGCGAAATTTGATATTGTCCGGAAACGTGCGGTGTAAGTCGCGCTCGATAGCCTCGACGTCCACATTCTTAGCTTTTTGTTTCAAAAGGCCATCGTACAGGCCGGCATGCTTCGCGACAACAGCAGGCCCTCCAGCGTAATAGAACCAAGCAGCACCCCTCCAATCGGGAGGTATTCCCTTGCGAACAAACCGCTTCGTCTTGTTAGATCGAGGGGGGAACCGGTTAGGATTATCCGTCATCAACCCATGCTCCCTAAGAAAGGCGGTCCACTTTTTCCGCCTTCTGTCTAGATATTCGGTATATCCTTGGTTCCAGTTATCGTATTGTTCCCGGTTAACGTACTGATTACTCTTCCGAAACCCGTAGCGATCTCGCTCGTCGTCGTCCTCCGCAATAGTCGACACGGTCGGGTGGCGCGAGGGGGGTAAGGGGCTGTAGCCGTCCTCGGTATCATCTTCAGTCTCGGCGCCCGCATCTACTGCATCCACGTCGATTAATATATTAACCGCCTCGCTATCCGTCTGAGTAGAATTCCGAGTTGAATCTCGAGCAGAATTCCGAGTGGAATTTCGAGTAGAAGTACGAATAGAACGGGAATCCAAATGGGTGCTCTCCAATATCTCGGGCATCTCCTCAGGCATATCCTCGAGTATCTCTTCAGACATATCCCCAAGTCCTTCCTCAGGCCCTTCCTCAAATACTTCCTCAGATGCTTCCTCAGATACCTCTCTGGGCACCTCTGCGAGCAAGGAATCACGTTCGTCAGGGTCGTGAGAAATAGAAACAGAGTCCTGCTCGATCTGACCAGAATCGGAGGTCGCGCTTGGCGATTCTGGAGTTGGTAGGAAGACGGTCATCGCGTCTAGCATGGCAGTCCTCCTCCTACTTAATTCTGATTTTGCAGTGCCCGGCCTTGAGTCTACCATCTCATTATTGTCCTCGGGAGCTGAGTCGTCATAGAAGCCCTTCTCGTACATTCCCATTATATCATTAATACTAAGCGAATCATCCGCCGCTCCGTAGACCGAGGTTATTGAACTGCTCTTAGTCGCGACGCTACTCCTCTCAGTTGCTACCGTCCCCTGGGCCGTGGATGCCGAGAGTTGGGATCGATAACTTGACCTGAGCTCCTCGCTCGGCAAAGATGCCATGCGATGGATGGGGTCCCTAGAGAAACTCGGCCCAGTACTTTCGGCACGGTTGTACGATAAGGGGAATCGCGTGGGTGGAGGATGTGGCTGTCGGCCTCTGCTCCGAAGATGCTCCCGACTGTGCATTTCAGGAGGAGGTCGCCCGGGAACAGAGGAAAATGTAGCAGCGGAAATATTGGACGAGATGGATTGACCGCGTTCTCGTGTCCATGATAGAGGGTGGCTGGGTGAGATATCGAGATGGCTCGGTTCGGTTGGAAGTTGATTAGTAGCCATTGTACGAGGTGATTCGTTGTAAGGTTGTTTAATGCTCGGTTTTCGAGGTCTCGAGAAGTTATCTACGCGTGGTGTTTCGGGGGCGCTCATCTTGACGGGTGACGAGGGGAATTCATCTCTTATCTCGGAAGCAAAGTGTAGCTCGTCGGTCGCGTTTGAGGATCTGCTATGGAGGCTACTAACAGCCGGAGACGTAGGGCTAAGAGTGGCAGAACGATCGTAGCCTAGAGAATCCCACCGAGGGGACAATGGGGAGTTTGGTAAAGGTGGTATTCGAGGTGAATGATCCTCTATAGTATGACTAAAATGGGAGTAGGAAGTAAAGACAGTAGATGGGGTAGAATGAGCAGTAGAAGGGGTAGTCCAAGGGGCGTTTGTAGTAATTGTTGAATCTTCGAATTCATTGTCTTCATCAGCATCGTAGCCATCTTTGTCTTTGTCGGCGTAATGATGACTGAAGTTGCTGGCGTTGGGGAAAATTGGACGAACCGGGGTGTGTTTCGAATCCTGGGCTCTTGAAGCATGCAGGCCAAATTCTTGGAACTTCATGCCGCCGCGCTCAGGTCTAACACCAACCCTAGCTGATAATACGTCTGATCTCAAATCTGATCTAGGGCTAGGTTGCGTCACACCTCTAGCACTTCCGGGTTTTCTATGTCGTTGTTGAATATCATATGTCATTGTAGTAGAATCGTCTTGCTGCGAATTGTCGGCCATAGTTCTAAATGTTCGCGCCATTGGCCTGTGGGCCAAGCAATCTAGAACACCGGCAGCTTCCCCTAACGAAAGAGTAGCTCCCCTAATGCAATGCAATTCCCACTTTACCTAGAGATCCCACAGCTAGGTATAGCTACCTAGGCACAGCTAAGAACCAAGCAGGCTGATACAACGCAGCGTTAAAGTGGATTTTGCTTAGGCATAGAGATGATCTTAACTCCAACCTACAGCAGGTAAGTACCTTTCCGGTTGCAGAAACGACACAATTAACGAACGAGGTCCGGCTGAACGAGTATGTATTGAATTGGGGAGTCGGGTATGCACGCACGGGCACCACCCCTAGTTACCCTCGTGACCGATATTCGAGACAATAGGGAGGATGATCGATCGAACGAATGAAATGGTCGGGGGGAGGAGGGGATGTTGAACGAATGTTGTTTAGAAGCCTCCTGGCATTTACAGGAGAAAAGAACGTGATGCGAGATAATTGATGGGATTCAGGTTCGTTCCATACCGATGGTGGCTGATTTATCGGCGTGGTACAAGTAAATGAGACGTGCTGGTTCTCTCGAGTATGCGTGTATGCGTCTTCCCGCTGCGTTGGAGTCAAGATTGGGGGTAGATTGGAGAAAGACTCGGGTTAGTTGAAAGTAAAGTCGATGTAACGAGATTGTGGGATCGGTTCCGTAAATGTTTGGCTAAGCCAGAAGAGTAGCCCAAATATTATCTTTTCCATCCAGAATCTTTAATTAGTCCCTACGATGGAGGATATATGGTTTTTTTTTGTTTGTTTGGTGTCTTATTGTCGAAAATAATTGAATAAGAAGAGACATCAATAATCTGGAGATTGTATTGGAGATTGTACTTTAAGGTAAAGTTACCTCCTAAGCGTACGGTACCTCTTTGCCTAAGGCATGTGGGCAGCATGCAGCATAGCACGCAGGTACATGTACGAGGTACAATGATCGGCAATGATTGGAGTGGATATGGATACTGTAAGTACGTGTAGATGCTGTAAGTATTTCTATAGGCGGTCGGTGGCTTCCGTCGGTGACCCAAGGTACAATACCTTTTGTTCTCGGGAGAAGTTCCAGTTAGGTTTAAAGATGTAGCTATCGACTACGCGATTGCATTTCGTCGAGTCGCTTCCCGTTGGTTCAGGTTCAGGTGCAGGTGCAGGTGCAGCTATGGTTCTTTAAAGGTGGTGTCAATTATACCTAGGTAGGTACCTAGTTAGGTAAAGAATATAAGGTTTGGCTTAAGTGAACCATTCAATAAGGTAACATTAAGCTCATAACCACCAGACGTCGTCTCGAGAACCAACAACAACGAGTCCCGATAAACAAAGATTATGAATCACAGAGATTCAAAGAAAGAAATTTTTAAGAATGAAGTTTCTTCGATTCGGTGGAATCCATCAAAAATGTCTAAATCTTCTTCTGATCAAATCCTCCGCTCATGCCGTGGATACCTCCCAGGTGGCAGACACTGTAATCGAAATTAGTCTTAGCGGACGCGGAACGGGCTGTGATCCGTCCAAGGAACAAGGTTGTTTAGCGGGTACCGAGCCGGTCCCTCTCATTGGCCAGCTTAGTCTTGGAAACAACAAAAAGGGTAACGAAAGAGAACATTAGAAAGAGCTGATTAGGCTGACATCATATACCTTGACCTGGGAAACATTGTAATTTCCCAATGTCTGTTATAAACATGCCTGACACATAGCAATACCTAATGTAGCAAATGCCTGAGCTGGAGGACGGATATAACCCGAGCTAACAATAATTTTTCGAGTTCGTTAGCGATCCGAGCCCACCGTTGAATTGCTTTTTATTGCCGCAAGTTTATTTATCACCTCAAAGAATGTCTCTGATAGACAGATTATAAGTCCCTTACACCTTGATATACATACCTCTCATACATACATCATGTATGCTGTATGCTTATGAACACATACATATAAGATGTGCTCAAAATATTAAAACCATCACTTAGCTATAATTCAAACATTGATACCATGACGAAATATGTTGTTAAGATGATACGGGATTTACGGCCGGTGGTTTCGGACTTTCCCAATTTGAAATTTCAAAGCAAGATGGCTATATCAAGGTAATCACACAAAATTTGCACGTCTAGGTATTGGCTTAAGCTTGAGTGACTAGGAGTTGAGTGACTAGGTACCTAGGTTTAGGTGCTAAACAACAACCTGGTTTAGGGATTTCCGAGGCTACGGGTCAGGGGCACAGCTGAGAATCCTAGCGTTAGTAATACTTTTGCTGAGCAGCCGGCAGCTGTTGTCCACTTTATTTAGTAACGTACATCCACTATGCATGGGTTATGTAGGGCATGGATTATGCAGGGGTGAGGGTAAGAAAGGTACGGTGGAATTTTTTTTAGACGAGCCGGTGAAAACGGGAGTCGACCTTAAATGTATGAAGTACGAAGTACCTAGGTACATGATTTAACCTACCTGGCTTAACCAGCAGAGTCCGGATTTAACATCTTACAATGACAAATGACAGATCTTCATCTTGCCATCATCAACAGTAACAACAAATTTTCACATATTATTCAGCTCCAGGATCATGTAAAAAGGGTTGCTTATCAACATTCTCAACCATTTCGGTATGCATTCAATGCCTTCGTCCGATAGCTTTACGTTGTCTTTTGTCCTCAACAAATAACACAACCTACCCACGATAGTATGTGTTACTTTGGCTATTACGAAGCGCAACTTACAACCCTTCCGTTTTATCTGCTCTGGTGATGGGATGACAGAGTGTGATAGCAGTCTACTCGAAATTGGATGTTCAACGCGTGTTTTACGCGTTTCCTTGGCTCCTTGGCCCTTTTCGCTTCAGGTTCCATCGTGATGCGCACACCAATCAATATCACAATCCGTTGCCAAAGTTCTGCTACTTAGGACTTATCCTCTCTTGGAAATGCGGCGGGACAGTCTGTCCGATCTCCGCTTAGGGGAACATATCCGTTGCGACCGTGAAATTTTATTCAGGTTCTGCCATGCAACTCGGGAATATACTATACACACATACTATATACCCAGGACAATAGGTTCCTCTCATATGTCGCATCAATTGTCTCTCTGGTTAGCAAATATACACATACCTCTCTACTTATAGTACATTTGAGCAAGGTGAGTACCAGAACCAAGGTAGGTATATTTACATTTATCTATTTGACTCTCCACAGGTATATTCTAGCCATTTGCTAGAGAATTGGCCGTGGTGGGCATATTATCAACTTTCATTATATTCCTTCTCGTGGGGTATTTAAAGAAAGAAAATAAATCTAGGCGCTCGCGAAAGGTTATCGCATGCGTTTCGAAGTTACGGTACATGCGTAACGTACGCAGTAGGGCTGCGCATCCTGAGCTTCACGGTTAAACCAAGTGGCTTATGAAATGAGGGGGAGAGCAAGTAGTGGAAGGGAGGGAGGAATGTGGCTGGGTTGTCTTAGGTCGGAGCTCTTCTCTCGCGAAATCGTCATTAATCGGTCAAATTGGCAGCAGAGTCGATTCTTTTTGAGCTTCCCGGACCCGATCGAGCCATGACCAGGATATGGTCCGAGTCCCACACCTACCTACTTGCTACTTACTACCTTCTATCTGCTGAGCCTTAACTGACTTTGGTGGCTTCTTGGATGCGCGTGCTAGTCCATAATGACGGACACCCATCCTGCAACTAGGGGGTAGAGAAGCAAGAATGGGCATACGGTAGCAAGCAGCAGCAGAAGCTCTCAGAGCTCCCCCGTCCGACCCCCTCTTCCCTCACCCATTCCCCCCCAAAGCTCCCCAGCTCCAAGCTTACCAGTCCCCTCCCCTCTCACACTCTACGCTCTCTGCTCCCCCCTTCCTAAGCAGCCTTTCCCCAAGCACCAGCGGACAGCGTTTCTCTCCCTACCACCCCAGCTCTCCCCCTTCTCTATTCTTTCTTCCCTCCTTTTTCTTTTCTCCTTTTCCATCTTTTTTTCGTACGAATCTCATCCATAGTTTTCTCCTGTTCATCAATCCGCCAGCCCGGATTCTAATTTCCCATCGAGAAACTCTCCCAAAGCTTATTACAAGCCCTAAAACATGACTTCTCGGAAGAGAAAGCAGGAGGAAGAGGAGGAAGAAGAGCTCGTTGCTCTACCTAGTGACGAAAGCGAAGAGGAAGAGGAATAGTAAGTTGTTCATTATATTTCATCAGGCGTTGCCGTAGGTGCGCAATGTTGGAAAATTCGCCCAAGGAAGGTGTCTTGTCGCAAAAGCTGCGCCGACGTCGCATTCGACGTTAGCATCGTCGCGCATACCCGCGCAATGTCGCGGATATCTTACCTTGGATGCCACGTTATCCAATGCGATCAATTCTTCAACTCAAGATGCATCACTTACTGGAGAGCACATATTAACCCTCTGCCTAATAGCATATCGGAAGGCGATGAAGATGATGATGCCGACGATGTTGAAGACGATGAAGAGGAATATGACGAAATAGTTGAGCCTGAGGAGGAAGAGGAAGAGAAGAACGGTGTAAAGCGTAAGTTGATCCTTACAGCATTGATGATTGATGGGACCTACCAGTCTCGACTAACGAATCCAAAAGCAGCACCAGCACCAGTTCAAGCTCAACCTGAAGCCCCTCCAAAGAAGAAGCTGAAAACAGCAAATGTCCCAACCGAGCCTGTTCCCATCGTCAAGAATGGCGAAGAGGAGGGTGAGGAAGAGGAGTTCGATAATGACGATCTTGAGGACGAAGATAACTTGGAGGATGTAGAAGAAGGATATGATGATGAAGAGGATGTTGAAGATGTTGAAGATGACGAGGAGAACGGCGTCGACGAACCTAAGAAATTGGGTATCGACGTCGATTTGCCTACCAATGGCAAGACCCATGCAGTAAAAGAAGTTGCTGCTAACGGTGACGAGGCTGACGACTGAGCTCCCTCATAACCATCCTACCCTAGATCGAAGAAGACAATTTTGACATCTACTCAGACGTCAAACCCGGTAGCTACCATGAGCTGCTCCGGTGTTTTGTCCTCAGTTCTCAATCATTTCACCACGATCCTCTACCAACCCATTCCCATGATACAGATGTTCCTTTTCCTATTTCATCACTGTTTGTTTCGTCAATGGCATAGATGGATTCTTGTGTGAATTCAACAGCACATTTAATGGAAAGGGGTCAAGATTTTTTGCTCTCGTTAATTCTCGATAAGAATTTATTTGGATGACGTTTAGTTGAGTGACATGTAGTCTCGATGTCTATGATAGGTGGTTCGCCCAGCACTGGTGATAATGATTTCATGGCCTTGTGTACTCATAACACGCCTTGTAACTCTACGCGGAGTAACTTTGGTAATAGACGTTATATCTCATCGACCCATGTTAGATCAACCATATAATTTACAGACAGTTAACACGTAAGAAGTTCGCGAACGGGGTTGCGATACTCTTATATATCTCATTTTCATGCCTTTTCTCAACTCGACCTCGTACCCCACAACCCCACGTTCGGCTTGAACTAAGACCAAGGGGGCGGTTGACAAGTGTCCATCCACCTCCGGTTGGTCGGAGGTGACCAGTGAATGCGGCCTAACGAGAAGAAACGAGCTCGATTGAGCGAGTGCAAGGCTAGAGACCCCACTCGTAATGTTCGTTCGCGAAGAGATGCTGGCGTATCACCTACGAGATTTGAGGACTATGACGCGCGTGATGCTCGATAGAGACGGGTGAGTATTGGTGATGGGACGGGATGGTTGGGCTGACAGGCATCGTGGGCTTGTGTGTCTACCTTACTTCTAGGGACTTGTGGTAAATTATAGATCTAGAAAGTGACTCTAGAAGGTGTTTGATTGCTACTCTTGGTCGTATCGCTTATATCTACTTGTGCGCATAGAAATATAAGCAATTTCAAAATCAACTAGATTGGATGATGTTGGTTTTTCATATACCGGCGATTCTAAATGAGATTCTTAATAAGTATAACCTTCACTTTATTTACCTTCAGGTAGACTACGACTAGATAACGGAACTCTGATTATAATTCAAGGAAGTTCATTTGGTATTTAATGTGACTGGCCTTAGATCAAACCCAATGAATTTTGTAGGTTGCTTGGATGTGCAAGTATTCAGCGCAGAATATCAACGATTGAGAACCATCACACATAATCATCGGATATGAACCTCGGCCTATTTCCATCTCAAGTAGTACTTTTGCGGAAACAACCGTTCTACGCCGCGACAAGCGGGACAGAATAAGAGGCGTCAGCACTAACTATTTCAAGCGATTATCGCTATGCAACTATTACGAGGATCGGCCGCGTTGGCATGCCATTGAAGGCAAGGGAAGTCCTACCACCGAATATAACTCCAAAAGCGTTTTATTACCAGGCGATCCCATCCTACTTTCTGTCCTAGGTATTTACGAATTTATGCAGTCGGCCCGGCTTGACATCTTATTAGTATCCATTCCTCTTCCGTTTCATAAAGAACCCTTTGGTTGGGATTAAGTGAGACATGACTTAGAGATAAATGCCCTGCATTAGGTCCGACTACATAATATTTACCTCAGGTACGAATATTTCTACAGCGAACGCCTTGTTAGTAGTACGCCTTTTGTTTCAACTACCTATTCTCTACTCCCTAGTGGACTTTAGACACTAGGGATAGAGTATGAAAGTGAAATCTGTACAATGAGTAAATATCACTCAAGGACAACATTTATTATAATTAATAGGCCGATATAAAATGGTCGCCGGCATATGTTTGATGGTAATATCATCATTGCCCACCGAAACTACATTGTAACAGTTTTTAATTGTTGGGTATCTACAGTAATCTAATTGGATGTTTCGCCAACCCTTGTGCTTGAAAGTTATCATTCATATAATTGTATATCGTAGCTTACCCTTCCTCGGCGTCCATAGTATCATGTCGTCTTTTCCCAGAGCCTTTGGCCGTATGGCGACCTTTCAGGACTGAACCCTTATTACCCCGGTCTTCGAGCAGATGCTTCATCTCATTACGCGAGTGGCGTTGTGCCTCCTCGACTCGACGCTTGAAGACCATAACCTCTTCCTTACTAGTCTCGTACTCTCCTAATTTCTTACCTAGAGCTGCCTCAATCCGCTGGTAGATTTCAAGGTCGTACTGCGTAACTAGACTTAAAGCTTGACCAGCATTTCCAGCACGCGCAGTTCTTCCGACTCGGTGAATATATGTTTTACCTGAGAGTCATTATTAGCAAACATTCTACAACCCAAGCTAAGCCGGGAGCACTCTAGTGAACTAGACTTTCTAAAAGGGGTAAATAGGGGCGCCGAAGAGGTTAGCTTACTATCTTGAGGTAAATCGTAGTTGATTACAACATCAACTTTAGGTATATCTAAACCTCGTGCGGCAACGTCAGTTGCGACTAGGATATCACGCGATCCAGATTTGAACTTGCTCAAAGCACCCAATCGCGCAGACTGTGATAATTGACCTGCAGAACAGAAAGTTAGTAATAGTACAAAATAGCAACGGAAGTGATTTCTAACTGACCGTGGAGAGGAATTGCTCCGAAACCCAAGTATCGAAGGAAAATTGCAACTCTCTGGGTTTCGTAAACAGTCCGTGTGAATATTATGGTAGACCGTCCGGTAAACTCGCTTGCTACAAGGAATATCAAGTATACGTCCTTGTGCATATGCGGTATGAAGACATAGTATTGTTGTAAAGTTGAGACAGTCTGATACTTGTTGCTGCTGATGCTGACGCGCAGCGGGTCTCGTAGACTGGCTCTCTGTAGACTTTCGACCTTTGACGACATCGTAGCGCTGAAGAGAAACGTGCGCCTCTCTCTCGGGAGGAACTTGAGTAGTTTGTCGAGTATGGGACCGAAATCCATATCTAAGAGTCGATCGGCCTCATCGATAACCAAATATTTCGTATTTGACAGTTTGAAGCCCTTCGTCTTTTCGAGATGATCCAGCAGTCGTCCCGGAGTGGCCACAACAATGTGAGGTTTTTTGGACAAGGCGATGGATTGTGGGACCATATCCAAGCCACCAACGATGACGGCGCATCTTACTGATATGGAGGCGCCGAGAGCATCTACCGCTTGGCCGATTTGGGCTGCAAGTTCGCGAGTAGGAGCTAATATAAGACCGAAGAAGGGTGAAGGTTTGTCAAGGAGGGCTTGGAGGATAGGTAGGACAAATGCAGCTGTCTTTCCGCTACCAGTCTCAGCCAGTCCAACGAGGTCCCTATTTTGTAGAGCAAGGGGAATCGATTGCGCCTGGATCGGTGTGGGGTTTTTGTAGCCAAGTGAGTGGCATGCTTCGACTAGAGTATCAACGATACCCTGTTAAATATCATGCTGTTAGGGAATTGTTCGATGATTTTGGAATCTAAGAATTGGATGTGTACGTACTAAATCTTTAAAGGTTTTCGGGGTAGAGTCGACAACAGAACCCTCTACAGTCTCAGAATCGGGAGATTCATCTTGGCCTTCAGCGGCGGGCGATAGCTTTCGTCTTTTCGGAGAAGACATTGTTAGGGGGGAGGTTGTAGATGTTCGTATGGCAGAGGTAGTAATCCGGGCGGAATAAGTTGGTAGAGTACTACAAAATGTTATTAGTCCAACAGAAAAAAGGTTGTCTTGATGTCTCGAATAAAGTTCGCGATCGGGCAAAAAGTTGATAAATCCGAGTACAAGATTCGATGCGTGCGCATCCCGCATCTAAAAAAGTTGACCGCTTTCTCTTTTTGGTATGCTATCTTATCTGCGCAAAGTTCCACATAGTATAAGGTACTAAAATTCTTCGGCATACTCTAGCGTCAATATTAGTAGATAATACTTGATATCTGTGGGGCTACCTTTTTTTCTGCCGTTCGATGAAGAAAAAAAAAATACAGCAGCTTCACTAGTTGATCTAATCTCTCTGGCCGTTCTGCGCTTAAGCTTATACATTCATCCCACCTACAAGACGATTGATATTCGAAACGAAGGCGCAATCACTACAATATCTAACCGCAAACAAATACTCAGTTGCCACTTGAAATTGTATTCGCAATGGCTAAGAGTCGGACGAAGAAACGCACCCATGTCGGCGCCAGCAATCCCAAGTACAAGGCCCCTCTGGTAGGCCGCTCTGCTGTTCAAGATCCCAAGAGCATGGTCATTCGTATCGGCGCCGGCGAAGTTGGGTCAAGTATCAGCCAATTGGCAAGAGATGTTCGTCAGGTTATGGAACCTGGTACAGCTAGTCGTCTAAAAGAGCGTCGCGCAAACCGTCTAAGAGATTATATAACTATGACCGGTCCCTTAGGTGTCACTCACCTACTCTTATTCTCTCGATCCGAGTCTGGAAATACGAATCTACGTATAGCCACTACCCCGCGTGGCCCTACCTTACATTTCCGTGTCGAGAAATACTCTCTTTGCAAAGATATACGCAAAACGCAGAGGCATCCAAGAGGTGGAGGGAAAGAGTATGACACATCTCCATTGGTATGATCCTATTCCTTTTTGATTTTACCTTGATACAGATACATATTACTAACTTACGACCCGTCTTTAGTTGATCATGAATAACATCTCCACGCCAGGTGCAGACGCCAATTCTAAAGTCCCCAAACACCTCGAGACCCTCACTACCACCGTATTTCAGTCGCTTTTTCCCCGCATTAACCCACAAACTACGCCCCTCAAATCGATAAGGAGAGTTCTACTTTTAAATAGAGAGCCTGCTACGGACGAGGATGATGGTTCTTTTGTGCTCAACTTCCGGCACTATGCTATATCTACCAAGCCTGCTGGAGTATCTAAACAGCTCCGTAGACTCGACGCTGCTGAGAAGATATTTAGCGCCAAGAACCGGAAAGGCGGCGTCCCGAATTTAGGAAAGCTGGAGGATATCTCCGAATATATGATAGGAGGCGAAAATGGCGAGGGCTACGTGACGGACGGCACTAGTGGAAGCGAAATGGACACGGACGCTGAGGTTGAGGTTTTAGAAGATGCACCACGCAGAGTGCTCTCGAGCAAGGCTCGTGCGGCCAGGCTGGAAAGTGGAGATACCCCCATAGAGAGCGATGAGAAGGTAGAGCGACGGCGCGTTACCCTAGTCGAACTCGGACCTCGTATGAAATTACGCATGACGAAAGTTGAGGAAGGTCTGTGCTCTGGCAAGACGATGTGGCACGAGCATATCCACAAGTCAAGACAGGAGATACAAGATCTCGAGCAGCGATGGGAGAAGCGCAGAGAGGAGAAGGAAGCAAGGAGAAAGCAGCAGAAGGTCAACGTCGAGAAGAAAAAGAAGGAACGCGAAGCAAACGGCACTAAGAGCAAAAAGGATGGAGCAGCCGGCGGTGAAGATGAGGACGACGAGGACATTGAAATGAATGGTTATAACAGTGATCTGTTTGACGAAATGATGGAGGAGGACGAGATAGACAGTGAGGGATTAGCAGGAGACGCGGAAGAAGCAATCGGTGATCAAATGGATGAAGACGAATGGGAAGATGAGAGAGAAGAGATTGCGGATGAAAACTAATCCTTCCTACGCTTTATTAGGATTATAATAGTTGACATAGGTATGGCGTCTGGCGTATTCCATTTACGCTGCGTAATATCATATCTATCGAAGAGAACTCTTGATTTATCTCTGTGAAGTGCGCTATTAGATATGAATAACCCTTTGAGCTGTAGCTTTGAGGACCAAGTATATGCTTGCTATCTGTAATAACCTCAACCACCCCTTGGTGCTCTATTCCTTAGAAAGTACTATGAAAATGGGGCTTATGAGATGTGACATATATGTAAGTCTTGCGTAACTAGAGAGTTATAAAATATGAGCTGTTATTGTCAGATTAGTAGCCTTGATGAATGTTAGGATAGTTGAATTGAACTATTAGCGCCAGCCCTGCTATCCTCTTCCAAGGGCACCACGCCTCTTATACTAAATCCTAGTATACCGATCTACCCCTGAATCTACCCCTATCCCATTTATACCCAACCATTTATCATGATACCCGCATTTATACATAGTCTTTTATCGTCAACAAGTTAAAGGTTTATATAAATGAGAAATATAAACCGTTCCTTAGTTATGGCTTCTCATTGGATTAGACTGACTGGATACCTGTTCACTAAATTTACGTATGTGATGGATACTAGGAAAATTAGTGTATCTTAGGTACTCATGATTGATGGGGCTTGTTGATTCGTATAAGACTTGAACTCATTCTAAGCGAAAAAGGGCCGGTATGTTTATAGGAGTTCCTTGGTGTTTATAAAAGAAACGTCTGGTGTCAAGTATAGGATAAAGAGCTTTCGCAACAGATCCGCTTTTTGGCCCTGTGAGAATCAAGGCCCATTCATCCGTCTGTATAGTATTGATCATGCTTGTATACTGTATTTATATATTAAATATATTCCTCAGGTACTGAGGTACCGAATTTTTGTTGTCTGTGGCATACTTATTATACTAATAGTTAATAGTTACTACGCCGTTTCCAAAATTATTCGTAGGACTTCTTTTTACATCAGGTCCAAGTTCCGTTTGGTGGACCAAAATATCCAATATCCGGCATTTGTAACCACGGTAGACCTTGGCCATCAGCAGTATTCTGCCATCTAAACCAGATGTTAGCGAAGTTATAACTGTATAATCCAGATGCTGTAATACTTACACCGTATTTCCCCACCAATCAGGAAATTGTTTGTTGGGTCCGTATGTAACAGCGAAGAAGATGACGATGCCACTGATCGCGAGGCCACTATAACAACGAGTTAATGGTTAGTTCATTTTAGAAGAGAACCAGGCCTGGGTATGTTTCGGGAGTAGCACTTAGAGACGATCTAAAAGGAGTAAAAAAAACCATCGATGTTACGTACATGTCTAATGCCGCTGCTAGTACATAGTTGTACTTGGCCCACCAAGCGTAGAATCTCTTATAAATGATTTTGTTGAAGATCAGGTTGACAATGTACCAACTACTGTAGTTGATGCCCGTGGCTGGCGGGACGTTGTACGTGCCGACGAATATGAGCGGCCAGTTGATCTTGCGGACGAATTCGTTTCCGGTCTTCTTCCAGATATAATAGGTAATCGGCGGTAGAATTAACCCGATCCAAAAGAAATGTAAGAGGCCGCTGTATATCTGGCCAACAGAGTATAGGCGCGCGGGTCCAACCAAACCCCATATTACGGAACTGCTGTAAACGGTACGGCCTTGGGGGCAGCTAAAGCCATTGGGTTGTTCCACCGTGCAGACTTCAGGTATGTTCCCCAACATCCACTAGATTATCTAGGATTAGCAAGACTTCTATGCGGAATAGTATCATAATGAGCCGCGACCCCTTTTAAAGAGAGTAATGCGGATACAATTTAAAAATTGCTTACCAGCGTGACGCCCACTTGCGTTATAGCACCGAGTATAGTAGCTAAGCCTTGTGCCCAGAATAGAGTGCGCGGTGGAATCTTCAAGTAGTGGCCCAACTTCATGTCGGCGGCAAAATACAACCCTTGGCCTACCACATCTTGCGACAGAGTCTTAAACAAGATGTTTGCTATGGGCCTCCCCTGAAACATATAGCCACCTATAAATTCGGATAGGACATTGAGTTGGTTCGCATTCACGTTCGTCAGCCCCTGAATTATGCCGCAGGGGACCATGTAAATGCCGCCGATCACGATCGCAAGTACAATTCCGTACACGGGTAACCCTGTGTGATATACTTCGGTCATGGCGACACTCATTCCAAATACGATAAGAACTATCGCAGACCACCAGTACCAGGGGGCATTCTTATAACCCTTCATAAGTCGTGCGTGAATATCAAGCTTCTGAGTTCCGCGTACCCCATGCATGATTTCTTCCCAATGGAAACAGTAGACATGCGATAATACACTATTATTTCTCGTTAGATATTATGCTATGAAGTGCGTAGAAAGGCGGATCTGAAACTCACCTGGTGATTGATGCAAAAGAGAGACCGTAGACGAAGGCGAAAGTCGCGGGCAGGTAGGGTGGTGAGTATGCCGCGTACTTCTCTTGGTCGAAAAGGTTATTAGTAATGACCCTCGCAGTGTCGTAGAGCTCCCCAAAACGGTCATACACGTCCGCAGTGCAAAGGGGCAAGTAGGACGTAAACCACGTATTGGTGTAATAGATAGCCGGCGTGACGACCCAAAAGAAGATGGCAAATCCGGCGAAGACGTTGGCAGCAGCCCAATGAGGACTAAGTAACGGATTCGTATTGTATACAACCATGGACCAATCCAAGGTTAAGGGAAATAGTCCTAGGCCTGTTACCATGCCGAAGATCTGATTTACTGCGAGGTTGTTGGGCGCAAGCCAACATATCCACGTGAAGTAACTCAGGCCGGTGAACATCAAACCGGGAAACCAATACCACACAAAAGAAGCGGTTCCCACTACCATAAAGAATTTAATACGAGTTATCTTCCATCCGTTAGCCACTGCGTTAGTTCGAGAATGAATCGAGCTCAATAGTGCCACATTGCCGAGGACGCCTGGCCAAATCATAGTGGCGGGCTGAACAAGTAGCGTTCTGCAAAGGCCAGCAATGCCGTATCCGCATAGTTGACAGCAAATAACGACCAAGACCGAAAATCCAGCTGGCATATCGAAGCCATACAACTTGGAAGCCTGGATTAGGCTCGTAGCATCGGCAGAACCAAATCCAAAGGAGACATTGCTCATGATGGTCACCATGGCATGTTCTTTGATGTTGAAATGGTGATCAGGATTGAATCGGCTGATAGGTAGTAACTTGGCGATGGTGACTCCGAGAGGGAAAGCCAGCAGTTCTGCAACGAGAGACACGATATGAACTCCCGGATAACGCAGCGAGAAGAACTGATTTACACCTGCTCCTAGGAACACGAAAAACTGACAATTGTTAGCGAGATACTTATTAGAACGGGTCCTCGTTAAAAACTTACAATGCCGAGAAACCATGCTCTGAATGTATTCACGGGCATGTCGGGATCGTCCGTCTCAGGTACCACGGCCCGCACGGCGGGGAATGGGCTTGTATCGGCATCCCAATCTCCCTCCTCTTCGGCCTTAGAAAGAACTTTACTTATGTCGACTTCTAGATCAGCCAGGTGCCCTTCTGCAACCTCGATATCGCGATCCGGAGGTAAGTCATCACTGCCCTTCTTGTCGATATCGCTGGCACCCTTCTCTGGTAGGATGATATCCCTCTTGACCGACATGGCGCAAATAGGCCTATCCCGAGATAGAAACAGATGACAAGAAATATGTAGGGTTTATTTGATGCGTCCATGTCGTGCATATTTAAGTCTTGAATGTTAGAAACATCTTTAATCTTATCTATCTTTCCCGGTTAACCCCTTGTTACTATATGGTCAGTACCAGGTACCTTTTGATGTTATCACAAGGGGTGTAATTAGGTAAAATCAATTAACCCACGGCTAACAACCTATCGTACCTATCGTATATCATACACTACACCTTTTTAAGGTGGAGCTACTATTCTTTACTATGCCCGAGGAGGTGTATATAAGAGCCGACCAATCAAGTGCTACAGGTTTATCTGCACCCCTCCTGCCTCTTTTAGTGTCAAATCGTATATATGTAGTGTCATGATATTATGGTGTCAAATGATATTAGACAATTATTAAGATAATGTTGATTGATTCGTATTACGGAAGAGCATTGTTGATTTTATGGTATTAGGTTGGCAGATTGTAAATTTAATTGACTTAGGTGTTGAATGTAAGATACTAACCTAGGTAACTTGGCTCATTGGCTCATTGTATTACATAATCAGCTAAGCTACTCCAAACCACGGCTTTCCGGCAAAGATGTACTTCTTCCTAACCTCAAATTCGCTATCTGGTACGGTATCCGCGCCTCTGGTCCCGGGTTGCTTGATGTTGCAATCATCCATGCTGATCATCGAGCCTGCTAATATTATAACAAGAAGTATACCCATGCAGAGTGCAATTATTATATTTTCTCGCATGGCGACGCAACGCTGAACCACCTCTTCCACCAACACCTGGTCCTCCACTCCCAACTCCCTTTCCTCCCGGTTGTGTCTAATTGGCCTCTATAGAATAATTCGGGATCCTCGAACGGAGGGCTCGGGGTCGGGTTACAGAGGGGAGTGGGGGGATGTTGTGGACTCCTCTGATGTTGGTAGAGGTGGATTTCGCTGGGACTGTTGTGGCGGCAGCCTATGGAATAATGATGGTAGGCTATAGGTTTCAATTAACAACTCCTTTTAGAATGTTTAATAGAATAACATACGTGGTTGCGTGGAGGAGGAAAGTAAGTATACAGTAGAGTATGCTATTAGTGATAGCGAATGTTGATATGAGCGTTAAGTAATCCATATTTGTTGATTGATAGGTCTGATGATGTATAGAAAGAGAATAGAAAACAATGATAGTTTAGACATTGAATAACCTTTCGATACCTCTTATTTAGTAGGTGTCTAGGGATATAGTGTGTTGCTCGAATTTGTTCTGCTTCTCTTGGTGTTGGGTCATGAGTTTCTGGTTTTCCATAATCTCTTTCAAGGTCTCGGTGATCGATTCCTTTGTCGCGATGATCTCGTTGTCGAGATCTTTCGTGTTGCCATCGTCGCTGTCGTCGACGACGATGGGATCATTGTTAGGTCTATCATCTCCATTGTCGTCGCTTCCTGATCCAGGTGGTGTATCGTCCTGATTGTCAGGTTCCTCCTGAGCGTTGTTTAGCAATCCCTTACCACCGAATTGAGGGTATTGTCTTATCGATCTCTTCGCTCGCTCCAGCATCTGTTGCCAGAACGGTAGGTAGTTATGTGGAGTTGGTAGGTTCTTTGATGTTTGATCTGAATAGAATATGGAAGAAAACGGATTATGAAAGGGGGTTGATTGATATTATAGGTAAAGTAATGTTAATTAGAAAGATTTGAGAAGAACTCTTGATCCTTCCCAACGAGAGTAAAGTTTATGTAATATATCGTTCTTGCACTTGTATCTACGGCAACGAAACAGAGTCATAACCTGCTAAACTTTGAATAGGCACGGGGTTGTTTCCATTAGAGGATGGACCTCGGTGTTATCATTGCGCAACTGAAAGTCAATCGCATCTGAGTGTGAGTACTAGTGTATGTATGTTAGGAGTTACCTAATTTATTAAGTTGCAACCTCATACATGCATTTGCAACTTCCCCACGAAGAAGCAATATGTACTTCTACCTTAGCGCAATCTAATAAACTCTTTAAAAAGGTTCAACATATTTGAAAGGTAGGCACGCCTATCCATTTACTCGAAAATTCCCCTGAAATCAAAACCGGCCGTCCCTTACATATTACTATTCAAGCAAGAGCATCCTATAAACATAGCAAATTACATACCTGCGCAACGGTCCTGATACCACCAAACGAAATGGAGAAAGTGAAGTCCGACAAGCTGGAAGCTACATCCCCACCGTTATATGATAGCCTTGATACGAGCGCTCAGAAGCCACATCGGGTAGCACCACCACAAGCGGCCAACGGGAAAAGTTACTTTGAGAAGGGAACGAAACCCAACATAGGATTTAATTTCAGTCCCGATCCTACCAAGTCCTATGAGAAACAGTTGTGGTATGGTCGACTGAAAATTAAATGTGATAATATACCAGAATTCATGTTGGAGGGTCTCCACTGGACGACTGATAACGTACTGTGGGAAGATGGTTTTATTCGGGATATAACTTCTAAATTCTTACATGAAAAAATGCATAAGGCCCTTTCTCGCGAAGGACATACCAAGGGGCGCTACTACTTTCTACGGGACATGCAACAGGAACCCCTGAGGTGGATTGGCCACCTTCAAGTTTATGCTAAGACTTATAAGGACGTAAGCGATTTCAGATTGGAAGAGCTTTCTATTCGGAATGTGCAATCTGTGGATGCTTTGGGTTCTAGCGGGGAACCTGTCTACAGATGGAGACGACAGCTGCCACAGGATGCCTTTAATGCTATCTATGACAATATGCCCATGGACGGCTGGTGGCCATGGCCAAAGAGAGAGAATATATAACTGCAGGAAGGGGGGTTGTTTATAGTTTACTAACATTAAACCATGAATAGTGCTTTTCTATTATGTAGACACCTTTGCCCACCGTTGTTTCTGATTCAAGAACCGGTAAAACTGGCAGGGAAAAGTAGCGAGCATGTAAGCAAATAGATAGGTACCTAGGTATATCTAGAGATTTCTAATAAGACAGGTATCTAGGTACCTACCTAATCTCTGGTATTCCCTTTCTATACATCATCAGACCTCCTATCGACTTAGCCGCAAATTACAAGGCCCATATCACTGTCATTACTCAACGAGCTCACCATGGCTATATGTAGCAGACAATCACAATTACAAACACCATAACCACAATTAAAATTACCCGCGACGCCACGACGACTCTCGTTTCATTCAATATCACTGATGGTGCATCGGTACTAGAGTTTTCCGTCAACTTCAATATAACATCGATAAACCAAACAGAATTACAATGCCGTTCGTTACATCGTTTAGGCAATTATAGGTAACAGGCACGCTCGTTACCTTGTAGCGATATTGTATGCTGTCCTCCTTTCCAATGTCCATTATAAAACTTGCCTCGGAAATATTGTTAATTGAACTCTACGGTCTAAGATCGTTATCCAAAGGGCTGCTGTCACACCAATCCCAGAGATCCTGTCAGGGTATAAGTGGGTATGGTGGCCTACAGGGGTCTATCTACTATATAAGGGCGCTCTGCGCCCTCGAAAGAGAGTAGAAGCCAGGCGTCACTAGTTCAATATATCATCCTTTTGGTCTACCTATCCTAGATATTCACTCTGTGTATGACATCAATCACCTGGGTATAAACCCCCTGACAGATCCCTACCTTCACCAACACCAGAATAGTCCACGACACACCCCATTCCCTCCTCACACCTCGACCCCGAGCCCTCCCCTTGAGGATCCTGAATATCTTCAAAATATCTATATACTAATTAGTATCGGGTTAAGTCGGAATAGGGCAGCTCATTGGAGACAGCGGGGGTGGGGAAGAGAAGGGTGGGTGGGTGTAGAGGACTAGGTGTTGGTGGCAGGGACAGTAAGAAGGTGTCTAGCAATGAGGGAGACTGTAATATCTGTTTTGGGGGGGGGGGGGAGGAATGGTGATATTAATTTTAAGCGTGATAGTGGCGAGGTTCTTGATTTGGGTGTCCGATTTTATGAGGGTTACTGTCACAGGCTCTCTCTTTCGAAATATATCTTACCAAGCCTTCACTTCTATTTTTTCTTGAAATACCTATCTTTTTACTTCCGAATCTTTCCCTGGGTGCCGAGTGTTGGGTGAGGGTTTCGAGGGTGCCGTGCCCTTCTCCAGGGTGCCGAGTTCTGGTTGCCGAGCCGTAAGTGAGTGTGATAAAGGTGTTAAGGGTGACGATCCTAGGGTATTGAGGATATTTCAAGTGTTCAACATATTCAACTGTATAATAGCAATGAGTTCGGGGTATTGTGGCAGCCCGCAGGGGCCCTCCTGTTATGAATAAGTAACATTATGACCAGAGCGGTAAATATAACTAAAAAGATTCTAGCGGTCACCAAAGTTCGGATGATACCGGACGAACCTGCAACTTCGATCAATATACTGTAATAAACTTCAATCTTGTATTAGGTATATGGCTACGATGCTACGGGTACTGCACTTAGAGGTGCTCCTATAGCGTCTGTATATAACATGCCAGCAACACTAGCGGACGTTAGAGTTGAAATAATACCAGAAATAAGGGCTGAAATGGCAACCCTAGACACATCTCCAGCACGTTCGGGGGCAAGCTGAGACAAGACACCAATTTGAGTACCAAGAGAACCGACGTTGCCGAAACCCTAAATCATAACAAAATTAATATCTAGAAGCGAGAGGAGGATAAGAGGTAGGACTTACGCAGCAAGCATAGGTGGCGATAAGCTGGGCTCGCGGACTCAAGTCCCTATAGCGGGGCGCCGACTGAAGGGCCTTGAATGCGGCGAACTCGTTGATGATGATTTTCTGACCAATAAGTTCTCCGACTAGCAAGAGATCATCATTCGGTACACCAAGTAGCCAAGATACGACGTAGAAGCAGTAACCCAGAATAAACTGAATGGTCAATTCTTCGATGCCCCAATAACTACCCCACCATGTAAGAAGTCCGTTGATCAGACTAACAAAGGCGATGATGCAAAGAAGCGTGGCTACAATCATGCCGGCGATCTTCAACCCAAGCCAGGCACCGTTCGCAAAGGCGTGTAACGCATTGGCAGCCTTGTGCTCGTCGGCCTCTGGGATAACGACGCGACCGGATGTTAGGGTCTCTTCAGTCTCTGGCCAGCGCATTTTAGAGACGGCGAGGGATGCCGGGATAGACATAATGCAGGAAGAGACCAGCGCCTGAGGATTTAAGCCAAGCCCGATGTAGGCTACAAGCACGGAACCGGCGATGGTGGCAAAACCGCAGGTCATAACCTGATGGATCTCGGCCATGGTCATGTGCGCGATGAACGGACGTACCAGCATAGCAGATTCACCTTGTCCGATAAAAGGTGTCGCAGCGGCTACTACGGCTTCGGCACCCGAAACGCGGAGACTCCAGAAGAAAAAGACAGCAAACTTGCCGATGAACCACTGGATAAGGCCGACGTGATATAAGAGGGATACGAGAGCCACGAAGAAAATGATTGGCGGCACGACACCGGTGAAGAACCAAGTCAGTTCCGTCACTGACTTTTCCGTTAGGAATTCGACACCGTCGGCGGCAAAGCCTAGCAAGGTTCGAGCCAGCGTAGAAATGAAGTTGAAGATATCATAACCAGCCTGGGATCGCAAGACGAAGACGGCGATAATGAACTGAGTGAGCATTCCGCCTTGAAAAGCGAGTCAGCACATCGACAATTGGTATAAGAAATGGGGAAACCCAATGGCCGCTTACCGATGACAGTGTGCCAAGGAATTTTCCTCCAGTCCCTCGAAGTAGCAGTCAAGATAACAATCATCACTACCAAGCCGAACAAAGATTGAGCACGGCGGGCGCGCGTGTTGTCGCCGGTCTCTTCCGGTACCATAGAACCGATCAAGAAAACTGCAACGGTGACGACGGCGGCAAGTGGGCGATGGAGCTTCTTCGGGGTCAGCTCGTAAGCCCTGAAGACAGTGTGACGCCAGACGAATTTGACAGGCATCATGACATATTTAACTGGGATCCAAAGGAAGATGATACGAAGCGTGATCGCCAGGTATACTAAGAAGGGGATCAGCCAGTTCTTCTCGTTCCGGAAACGAACGAGGCCAAAGATCCACCATCTGGATAAGCTATGTCAGCTCTGCGACTCGATGCGCGACTGCGACGGTTCATCGGGGGAGTCGCGCCAGACTTACGCCGTAAAGACGAGCCAGATGAAGATGTGGATGTAGGCCCGATATCTTCGATAATAAATAGCGATGATGCTCTTTTGTACTTCATTCTCATCACCAGCTATCTGTCCTATATTTGCGCTCTCCTCATCAGTGATCGACTTCTCGGCGGCAGCATAGTCGTGAGGCTTCTCTAAGCTCTTATCCGGCGTGCTGGCCGAATAAGTGACCTCGTCGGAATGATTGGCCGACTTTGGAAGCGCGCCTTCTTGGAGCGACGAATTATGGCCGGCGAGGCCTTTATTCTCGTGAGAACTCATCGGATCGAAGTTCAAAACTGAGAAAGGGCCTTTTTAGCAAAAAGTTTTTTCTTCCTTCTCTTTTCCTCCACTCTCTTCCCTT